CACCAATGCGGCATTCTCCTTCTGACAACCACTCTCAAACCAACTGCACACAGAAACCACGCAAGCGCTCTTTACAAGCCGTGACAACCAGCGGTCCCGGCAGCGACGGGGCGGTACTGACCTCCTCGACACCGTTCAGGATGCAGTAGTGGTTGAGAGCGGTGACGAAGGCGCCGGGAGCCTCGCAGAGATGCAGCGACACCAGCCGGCCGCCGTCCGCACAGGCCGGCGGCAGCACAGAGCCCAGGCTCAGCAGCTCGTAAAACTTGCACCACGCCTGGCCGCCAGAGCACACACGTAAAACTGGCGCCGCAATGCTACACAAACGAGATCGTTCAATAACATATGGCAAAAACTGTCAAGCCTTTTTTGAAAACCTAGTACATTTCTTGGCCGCAAAAAGGAGCAATAAGTATAGATCACTTTCAGGCGTTTCACGCGGCGGGCCAGACCGAATCTACCCCCAAAAACATTTGTGGGCCTACGCACTTCTAAAACGCGCTCCGCTGGCGTACGTTCCAAAGACGACTTAAAACCCCTGACAGCTGCAGCTCGTGATTTACAAATCAGAATCAGGCAAAATACAACCATTCTAGCCCATACGTCTGCAGGCCGTGATCTCCAAGCTCTTAATGTCACCATTTCGTTTTCGGAGTGCGGGCCCGACCGGGTCCTGGCCGCGCTTCTAGCCAACCGTCCCATGGCCGCCACCCCGGGCCGAGCCGAGCAGGGCCGGATCGGCCTCGAGCAGAGCGGAGCCGAGCCGAGCCGAGCCGGTCTAGAGCCGGGCCGGGCCGGCCTGGAGCCGGGCCGGGCCGGCCTGGAGCCGGGCCGGGCCGGCCTCGAGCAGAGCCGAGCCGGCCTCAGGTCGAGCCGAGGCCCAGCGACGCACCTGTGTGCCCATCTCGGGCCGAATGTGACGCTTGACTGTGGGCACCACCAGGCCAGCCCGGTTTGTGGCCGATGTGTGCTCGTGCCAGGTGGAGATGTCCTTGTCACTAAGCAGCGCCTTGACGGCGTTCAGCTCGTGCTTCATAGTCTGCAGCTCTGCCACCTGGAGGTGAAGATCAGGAACTGGTGAGAGGTGATACATAACCGGGCAGAGAGAGGGCTGAACCACCCACAAAAGCCAAGTTATCCTCGGGACTGTAAATCGCCGTAAAATAAAAGCCCTCTTTCGAAACACAAATACATCCGCATTTACACACTTCGTTTCTCTAATACAGGTCTGTTCACTGAGGTACAGGTAGCCACGCTCTGGCGGCAGTTCAGACCGCGTGGTGCAGCACCTCTGACTCCCTGCCACGACGTGCCACCGGCGTCCTCCGCGCCTGGAGAGGGCGCCTCACCTGCCACTCGTCATCAGGGAACATGTGCTCCGGCTCCGGCAGCCTCCAGTCGTGCTCGGCCGCGCAGAAGTCGAACCGGCGGCTAAACAGCGCCTCCACCTGGCGGCGCACGTGGTCCGGCTCGGCCGCCGCCGCCGCCGCCCAGCGGCCGCGCTTCCGGTGGTGGCCCGACATGGCACCGGCGACCCTGGGAGCGGCCGGCTCGGACGCAGGCTGGAGGGTCACCTCAGCTGGCTCAGGAACGGTGACCTCAGCTGGCTCAGGAGCGGTCACCTCAGCTGGCTCTGGAGCGGCCGGCTCAGACGCGGGCTCGGGGTCACCTCAGCTGGCTCAGGAGCGGTCACCTCAGCTGGCTCTGGAGCGGCCGGCTCAGACGCGGGCTGGGGGTCACCTCAGCTGGCTCAGGAGCGGTCACCTCAGCTGGCTCTGGAGCGGCCGGCTCGGACGCAGGCTGGAGGGTCACCTCAGCTGGCTCAGGAGCGGTCACCTCAGCTGGCTCAGGGGCGATGACCTCAGATGGCTCAGGAGCGGTCACCCCAGCTGGCTCTGGAGCGGCCACCTCAGCTGGCTCTGGAGTGGTCGCCTCAGCTGGCTCTGAAGCGGCTGGCTAGAACACGGCTCACCCAGGAACGAAGGATGGCCAACTCAGGAGCGACGGACTCCAGACAGGCTGACGCGGAGGCGGCCGGCTGAGGTGTGGCTGGCCCAGACGCCAGGGGCGGCTGACCCAGATGACCTCGGAGCAGCCGGCCCATGTGGGGTCGGCCGACGAGCGGCCGTGTCCGGCTCAGGAGCGCCTCGCCAGCGCGCCCAGCTGGTCGCGCAGGCTGGACAGCTGGCCAATCAGAGCGTCCAGCCGCTGTGCTGGGACCTGGACCAGCAGCGGTGAGGCTGCTAGCTGCCCGGCCGACTGGCGCCGCTGTAACAGCAGGACGCCGCCGCTGTGACCAGTCGCGCTGGCTGCGCGATCGGCACATCTGCCAAACGGTCCCGGATCGAATGTGGGCACAACTCAGGATTGTGTACTGGTATTATTCACAGAGTGAATGTGGTTAGCAAGCAAGGCCATGAAACAGAATTCAAACGGAATTCATCCCACGGAAAGTGGAAACATGTTACGACGTGGCATCACTGAAATCAAATGAAATGCTATAAAATACTATTCACGAGCATGAGTCTACCCAATTTAGAAGGTGGGGAGGGGGTGGGGTGGGCACAGAGCATGAAAAAAGATCTTCGCTTTGCGCATCTATCCTGCAATGAGTCGAGCATTCCGATTTTTAAAGCGTGCTTCAATTTAAAACTCAAAACATGACCGTCCTTTACCAAACTCGAGTCATCTACCAAGACACCAGAGAGCGTCTGACGCACGGACCCTGGTCCGAAATGACGTATGTGTTCCAAAGCGAGGTGGGTACAACCCATCAACGCATGCAGTACGGCATAACGTTCCCCACAACAAAGACATTGTGGTCGGCCTTCCCAACATAACAAGCACCTGTGAGTCGCGTATGTATGTGCTATTCTCAGGCGGCATAGCGCTACTTCATCCCGCTTCACCTTACGGCAACTGGCCGTCCATGGTCCCAACCGAGACTTTATACCTCCCAGTTTGTTCCTTTAGCTCCCTTTAAAAGGAATGTTCCACATTTGTGTGGGGTTTTGACCTGAAATCGCTATCTTGAAGATCGTACGATGCAATTCACAGCCATGCCCTCCCTAAGATCTAAGCCGCTCTATTTTCTGAACCACACGTCCGCGAGCCTGAATACTCCTTCGGTAAGACTATTTCAAGGTCACCCAGGCTGCCATGACGCCATAAGAACGTCATATAAATCATGCCACTCCATTAACGATACGGCGATCAAGGCCGGGACGAATACACTCGTCAATTCATTCATATCTGGTGTTCGTGAGCACAATTTCCGGACAAAACGGCCGGCGCTTAGCTCTCAATAAATGTTGTGCAAGGTACAATGATGTAATCAAACAATAACGCATTGAGGAGCATGTTTACTAGACAGAGAAATTGTGTTTTCCAGAACGGCCTTTTCCACTTAAAAGTACACCAATAGCCATAAGTAAGTTTATTTCATCATATTTGATGATTTCTTCGACACCTTCAATGTGTAATTTCGTTAAGAAAAGCGCCATACCCGGGTGTGTTGTTCATTGGTGTTTTGGGGGCGTGTCGATTTCAATGGTCATTTTGCGCCCACCTGAGTGTGCGACTCAAGAAAACATCTTAAACTCATGGGTAAATATCGATGAACACCACAAGAAAAGGCCAAAACACGGGCAAATCACGACATTTGGCTCAGCGAGTTTTTTCCGCACCGTCACTGCCGTGTCCCGGCGGCTACTACACGAGAGTGCTAGGTCAGCAATTTCACACGGCTATTTTGAAGACACCACAACGTTATCCAAATGTTCTATGAAATTCCACCAATGACATAGTGAGAGGCATATTCACTAAATAAAGGAACTGTGTTGTCTAGGATGATCTTTTCCACCTACGCGCATCAATAATTATAAGTAAGCTTCCTTCATCCAGCCTGATGTTTACTTCACTATCTCCAAATGTCGAACATTTCCTTTCGTCCTTGATTTGATGTTGTTAACTTGAAATCACGTGCTTCGTTGCGGCACTTTTCTTAAGTTATCCACTCCCGGTCTTGCTTCCGTCATAACTAGTACCAATGTTCAACTTCCCGTATTATGTCGCACAGAGCCTGACTCGTGGTCGGGTCTTGCACTGCATGCATTACAATGCTTAAAGCCGACTGAACTATGTTGACACCAAAAATCATCCTGGTGCTGAATCATGCTGGCAAAAATGTCAGACACAAATAGCTAACCATTATATTTATATTGGTCTCGAGCATAGCATGGCCCACAGGCTAGCAGTATTCACGTAACATTCTTATAGTCATGCAAGCCAGGGTGAATTTGGAAGAGTCTAAACAAATTAGGCTGCACAAGTTCCTGAGCAGCTAGCTCAGAAACCAGAGGGTTTTCAATTCTTAGTTTTAAAAATGTTTTGACATTGTAAAACCGGATGCTGTTGGCTTTCTCTCAATGAAAGCAGCATGTCTGCCTTTCTCTCACATTTCCTGCTCAATCATGGGCCAAACAGATATTATCTTTTTAGGAAAATGTTTCCAAACACAGACTTCACAGGAGAAGGTTTATCCAGAGTGACCTGTGCCATAATCAGAGAAAATAAATTTCTTTTAAACATGCCAGGAATGTGTTAAGGTTAAAGGCAGCCTCTGACATGTAGGTGATCTATATGAGGACAAAAAGGTGGTTGTCATGCATAATTTTTTCTGGGCTTTCTTCCACTGATGCCTTCTTTTTGCTTGTTTACTGCTTATGCTGTTGCTTACTGCTTATGCCCTCTCTTTGTCTGCTTAATGCTAATGCCACTGCTAATTGCTCACTGATTCTGCTTTCTCTTGCTTGCTTGCCTTGGGCTTACCTGCATACTTACTTACTTCCTTTACCCGCTTCCTTGCTCTTTGCTTGCTTGCTTACTGATGCTTACTGAGATTTCCTTTTCTTCTTTTACTTTCCTTTACTTTTTTCACTACTTATATATTTTCTGAACCAACAGACTTTAAGGAGGAATCAGTTGTGCACACCCATGAGTTGTCAGTTGTCCACACCCTGTACAACTACATCTGTGAAATTTGAGGCATGAAAGAACTGCATTCTACAATCCAGTCTCCAAAAATGTATCCACTGCACATAACACTGACTCAGCATAAGTGTACTGAATTTTACCCTTACCTGCACCAAAATCAGGCTGAGTTAAATTGTGCTGAATTTTCAAATTATTTCAATGCAAAAATATTTTTGAGCATTTTTAACTGCGACTATCTTTGACAGATCATGATTTCCTGAAACATTGCCTCTTGCTGTCCTGAAACTGGTACCAACCATGTGCCACACTCAGAGCTCTCCAATTTACTGCATGCCTGTGCTGCAATTGTGGTCACAACACTGCTGGATGCTACTATTATGATGTGCATGTTCAGCATCAGACAATTTCATAAAGTCAGGCCTAGAGTCATGAAGGGTAACAAAAAACCAATTCCACAAAAATGGGGGGTGAGTGAATGTCTCCAACCTCCAGTGGTTACACCCTAGTGTACACCCATGATTCTGATTGAAGTGCTGCATGCCAGTTGGCAGACCACTTAAGATATAGTTGTGTTGCTGATCACATTGTGAGTTTTATCTTTAAACATCTTTTTAGAATTAATCATACTTTGGTCAATTTTAAACTGCAAGATCATGTCAGGTCAGCACAAGCACCTAACAGATTTCCTGGTTTCAGGTCTGAAAAGTCACAAGACACATCATGGCCTGGGTACCATGAGAATATTGTGAAGTGTCTGCCCCACGCTGAAGGCTGGCTATTAACTAAATCACCATGTGGTATGTGTCTAAGACATTTTGGTATATATGTAACATAATCTGGACTAACCTCAAACGACAGCAGATAGGACGCTTCTTTATTCAAACTGTCCTCACTAGTCACAGGCTTCAGCGTATGAACAGAAACCTTCTCTACAGGCATTGCCATGTTTTGCTTCAATCTAGATCATGTCCCGACGTGGCGTCTCCAGGAACCCGGACATTTCACGCCCTGCACATCGACGGCCTCAATGATAGCCTTGGTCTCAAGCGAATTCAGGTCATTCAAGGCAATAACCTGCGCACGAAAAATACGTCTCAGATGCGCCGAACCTTTACCTCCTTCGTGATGCCACTTTTTAGGTATATACAAAGAAGTATCCATTTGTGGGGCCGTATGCCCCTAATGTTGAGTTGCCCCTCCCCTCCCTCCCCCCAACGCTGGCTTGGGCTCCTTCCAATATTCTCAACTGGAATAATCAAACCATATGATGTCAAAGAAGGATGAGACGGCGGGAAGAGCGATGCGAAGATTGCAGGTCCGACCAACGCTGCTCCGTGGCGAGTCGTATGTCTCGACTGACGGACAACATCCGGGTACGGGCTCTGCGAAGAACTGACTTGCTTAGCCTGCATCCGGCGCACGACTTCGTCGTAACTCACTCGAACAGGCCTGCGATAGTTTGTAGCATTATTCCCTGGTTGTCGCCAATCCGCAGCCGGTTGCCCGTGCTAATTTCACGGCATCACTACGCCATCGTGAGCACATGTTTACAGGTGAGCAATGTTACGCTTGGAAACCAGTGTTATGTTACAAATATGCAGACCACAGTCCAGTTGAGCTGAGGAATACCGAGAGTGGCAGGTCGTCAACTTATGCCGCGGTGCCTGGTGAAAACGAACATCACGCGCTGTTTGTGTGGTAACACGGCCCTAAATTGCCTCACTGTCTCACCCTGGACACCGTAATGAGCGCCAATCGACGGATGCCGTTGATGTTTCCTCGTCAGCATGGTGCTCTCACAGCAATTGGGTGCTCCAATACTGTAATCTTTTTTGTGGCTTAAATGCGCTGGATCCTAGGCTATATCGCGCCTTCGATGTGCAACATTTCCCACGGTTGGATCTTTTCTTGGCCTGTGCTGCACACCCCTCGGCGTCAGTATTGACATTGAGTTATCTCTAGTCAGACCGTTGTGTTCGTGCCGGGTTAACGGACGCGCAAGTAATTTGACCCCCCCCCCCCCCCTCTCCCGTCTGTTCTGATGGCAGTGAACATCCCGCGCGCCAAGGCGAAAGCGTTGGTCGGGCACGGAACCGGCTGAGTGCCAGCCTGCCGCACACATGAGCGTAACGTCAGCTGACGGCCACCCACGCCTCAGTTGCAGCGCCCCTGCTTGGGACTTTGCACATTTCCGTCGGCTCGTGACCCGGTTTTTGCGAGATAACCTCAATCAAATATTTGGCAAGGATGGCTCTGGGATCAGTGCCTGCCACACATAGCTTATTGTCGAAGAATGTGTTCCAGCACCGAACAGAGCTATTACAGTTGAACGATGCGTTGAAAGTTTGTATGTCCCTGACAAGTTGCAACTGGGCGATCTCAGGGACGCGACCCTACCCGACCCGACCCGACGCTGGCCGCATTGGTCGGATGTCTAGCGGCCCACCAAGTTATCTACAGTGACTACTATTCCTTTGGTTCTCATCCGCTCCTGGCGTTCATTGCTAAGTTTGACTTGAGTAAGGCAACGAAGCTGATCCACTGACTCGCATTTTTCATCAGTTGATGACTCATTTGATCTTTTCGAAAGTTTGTGGCGAAGTGATGTCACGCTCGCGCCTTCCGTCCAGTCACGCGCCGCGACCACATATAGCGAACGCCACAGTAGAAAACATGGTTCTTTATTGCGGCGCTGACAGGATGGCCGGGCAGCGACAGAGGCGCCACCCGCGCGCGCCAGTCGATCCCGCCCCACCGCACGTCCCCACTACAGCCTGACATCACGACCAATCCGCTCACAAACCACAGCCGCCTCGTCACCCGCACCCAGCCACACGGCCGCAACACAACCCACCGACACCCAGTGACGTCACGCAAAGGTTCGCCGATAAAGTACGGCGCTGGGCTTAACGCCAAGCGGGATACGAATATATACACAGACACGCCCACGGACGAAACATAAATGCTTCCTCTAAAGAACTACAAAAAAAAAACAAAGGAACGACACAGTCTCGGAAATACCCAAACGTCGTGCGGAGCGAACTGGACAAAACGTGTGCGACGAGCCACTGCGATGTACCGGCCGCAGAAAGATCACGACCAACACCCGCTCCTGCCACCCGGGCGTCCCGCACACGCTCACCCCTCCCCCACCCCATCCCCCCGCTGAGGTAGGCTGCACACAGCGCAGCGAGGACCCGTCTCCGCGCGAGTCCAGCCAGCAGCCGCCTCCGCGGATCCCGCCAGCCGCCTGTGACCACAGGGGTCGGCCGCCGGGCCCCACGGACCGACCGCCGGCCGCCTGGGACCCCACGGACCGGCCGCCAGCCGCCTGGGACCCCACGGACCGACCACCGGCCGCCTGGGACCCCACGGACCGACCACCAGCCGCCTGGGACCCCGTGAACCGGCCGCCTGGGACCCACAGACCGGCCGCCAGCCGCCTGGGACCCCGTGAACCGGCCGCCTGGGACCCCTCAGACCGGCCGCCAGCCGCGTCATTTGATTGATTGCGGGACGGGCAGTGCGCCCGCCGACAGCCCACCAGATCATAGCAAACATACTTGGCTGAACGTGAGCCACCACAAGCTAACACACACGCGCGCGCGCGCGCGCACGACAAAAGGCCCAATCCAATGTCACCGGTCGGCAACAGATGGCGTGCGCCGCGGAACGCCCCCGGGGAGGAGGCTTGAATGCAGACACCTTACATGGGGCTGGGCTACACCGTCACGGAAGTCTGTGACCAGCCGGACACCCGGACGGTCAGACCAGTCACTTCTACGGCAGGATTGCTGTGGGTGCGTGGACGTTTCCGCGCGGCTCGGCGCTGGGTGAGCTCACTGATGTGGGGACAGGCGGGGGGACACCTCTCGCCGGAGGGACAGGAAGTGGGATGCGGCCCAACGTCCGAGCAAGCCAGACAATGAGACACTTGTCAAAATACCGCTACTTCTGCAAAGAGGAGCACTATTGAGCAGGGCCACACAGCTTCCACCGCGGCCCAGCGGAGGCGGTCTCAACAAGCCGGAAGCCAAATTGGACTCCGCGAAATCCCACGGACGTGAAACACGGGAAATACCATCATCTAAAATGATCGAGACGTAAGAAGAGAACCAGCTGCGCGTGCCGCCTGGTTGGCCGCACACCCCGCAGCGCCGGGACCCACAGCGGGCCACGCTGGACATGCCCCGCTGTGCGCCGGTAAGGCACCACGTCCGCCTGCAGGGCGGCCGAGCGAGCCGCCACAGGGAGCGAGGCGGGTAGCGCGCCAGCAATCAGCCCACATGATCGGACACCGGGCACCGCGAGCCAGGGCAGAGGGGTCGCCGACAGACGCGGCGCCGGCGGCTGGGTGAGCGGCGGCCAGGGGAGTCGGCCGCCGCGGTCAGCCAAAGCGGTGCACGGCCGGACGGCTCACACCACGCTCCGTTCATGCTTGATTGTGGGTTAGTGCTTCCCTAGTGGTCCAATACTGACGGGCTAAAAAGCGTCAGAAACCGGCGTAAAATGCATGGGATCCGCGATTTGGGCCGGAAGCTTTTTAAAACTCATTCAAGCAGTCCTGTAAAATATTGGTAACGACGGCGAAATTTTAACGTGTTCCCCCGGTTTACTTTAACTGGGTCGGGTGACTCAATTTCGTCCCTCACCTTCAGACACAGTGGCACACTAAAACTGCACCTGCATGAGCCCGCAAATCTCCGCGAAGCACACAGCACATCGGCAAACGCGGGACGAACGGGGCAGGTCGCCGTCAACTACAAGGCAGTGGCAGTTGTCGCCGAGCTCAGCTACCCCTAAAACGGCGGCCGAGACGGCGCGGGCAGCGGAGACGCGAGCCCTGGCGGGGACCGCGCGCGCGCCTGCGCACACAACAGCACAGGCACCTGAGTCGAATTCTAACCACGCCGGCCGCGACAGTAAGCTCTGACCTCATGATCCATGTGTCCCTCATACGCGCACCCAAAACCACCTAAAAAAGAATAACATGATGTGGCCTTATCGGCCGATGGGGAGGCAGCCGCCGTAAGCGGGCGCGGGCGGCGGCGGCGGGCGGCGCGCGGCGCGCGCCTACTGGCCGGAGCCCGGGTACGGGTACTGCGGCGGCAGGTAGAAATAGCCGGCGCTCGGCGGCGGCGGCCCGGCCGGCGGCGCCAGGTAGTAGCTGCCATTGTCGGCCAGCAGCAGCCGTTGGCCGCCAGGCTCGGCCGCGCCTGCCGGGTAGAAGAAGGGCGGCGCCATGGCGTACAGCAGCGGCGCGGCCGGCGGCGGCGGCGGCGGAGGCCGCGGCTGCGGCAGCGGCTGCGGCGGCGGGCCGGAGTACTTGCTGAGCCGCGGCGGCAGGTTGCGCGGCGGCTGCGGCGCCTTCGTCGGACGCGCGGCGGGACGGCCACGGCGCGGCGCCCCGTTGCGGACGTGCGGCGAGTTGACGTCGCCGACTGCGGCAGACGTCAAAGGCGTCGGTCAGCCGGGCCCGCCAACAGGTCAAGGGCACAGACCGGCCACGTCAACAGGTCAAGAGCACACACCGGCCACACCAACAGGTCAAGGGCACACACTGGCCACACCAACAGGTCAAGGGCACACACCGGCCACGTCAACAGGTCAAGAGCACACACCGGCCACACCAACAGGTCAAGGGCACACACTGGCCACACCAACAGGTCAAGGGCACACACTGGCCACATCAACGGGTCAAGGGCACACACTGGCCACGCCAACAGGTCACAGACACACGCCAGGCGCGTCGACAGGTCAAGGGCACAGACCGGCCACGTCAACAGGTCAAGGGCACACACCGGCCACGCCAACAGATCACGGACACGCATCGGCCACGCGTCCACAGCAGTCTACCAGCGCATACATACCCCCATTACGCACTCCTATGAATTATCGAGAAAAATGCACGGGTGCCCTGTGGCGCAGCATCCAAGAACATACGTGACACGGTACGACCAGCAGGTAACAGGCACGCACTGCACGTACACCAGTACGTCTTTCACACTAATTCCACGCAGCGCATTGCCCCCGGCTGGGGACCATTAAGTCCGACGGCTCCACCGACACAGCGCACACCAGCGTGGCCGCTGTCTGTCACCACGGCGCACGCCGCCACTCACCCGAGCCGTCCCCGGAGTTGTTGGACGAGTGAGAGGCGTTGCGGGAGCGGTAGCCGGACTCCTCGGCCGAGCCGGGGCTGTAGAAGCCACCGGGGTCCGGCGACTCGGCCACGGCGAACACCGGCGCCGGCGGCATCACCTCCAGCGGGTACATGGCGGTCGGGCAGGTCGGCGCGCCGCGCCCCATCCGCTGCTGCTGCTGGTGCTGCTGCTGGTGGTGTTGCTGCTGCTGTTGCTGCAGGGGTACGATGATGTGGTCAGGCATTTGCACAAGCAGGCGGACGCAGTCACGCACGGGAGGCGGTGCACGAGCTGTTGCTGCCGCCGCCACTGCAACTGCAAGATCAACTTGGGCTGGTCAGACGTCCGTGCCAGCCGACGGCAGACACGCGGCGGAGCCCCGTCAGCGCGTGACGCGCACACCGGCCGACCACCCGCACCATCTGTCAGTGGGCCCACCGTGCGTCCCAAACCCCGACCGCCGACACAGCGCAAACTTTTCCGTCCGAGCCAGCCCAGTGTAGGCAAAGGGCACGCGCGCGGCACGCCTCCACGCGCCACACCCGGCTAGAAACACACCGACGTCACCACGCACCTCGTAAGGACCGGGCATGGCGTAGCCGGCATAGTACTGCTGCGGCTGCTGCGGCTGCTGCGGCTGCTGCTGCTGTGGCGGCGGCGGTGGAGGCGGCGGCGGCGGGCCGTACGGCTGACCCGCCGCCGGCGCGTACGGCGACTGGGGGCTGCTGACGGCCAGCGGCACGGGCGGCGTGCCGGGCGAGAGCACGAGCGGCGGCCCGCCGCCGGGGCCCGGCACCAGGTGCCAGCCACCGGCCGGCGGGTACATCAGCTCGGCCGGGTCGGCGGCGCCGAACGCGCCCGGCGCGGCGCCGTGAACGGACGGGCTCATGATGACCGGCGCCACGGGCGGCGTCTCGGAGCCGCGCGAGCCGGCCAGCGCCAGCGAGTGCAGCCGCTGCTCCAGACCGAGCCCGGCGCCCGGCGGCAGAAACTGGCCGACACGGCACGGAACACGTCAGACGGCGACGACTACAAGGCCGCTCGTGCTCCCCGGTGGGATACAACGGGCGTACGCTCCGGAGTGAGACGCGTCTGAAGGGTATTCTGTAATTGCTGCTGCAGCTATCCCATTCAATTTGCAACCGAAAATACCTAAAACACATGCTCATAAAGAATAAAATAGCACTCGACCGTAAACCAAGAGGTCTTTCAATACTCTCGCACACGAATACGGCTATTCATGTGAAATGCAGGGGTGGTACCTTGTCCAGCCTACGCGAAGTCTGTCCAAAACATCGGTCGTCAAAGCATCCACAAGGCTTCCCTTCCACCAAAATCGTCTGGCTCCGGCGACAGCCGCCTCCCTGAGCGCGTTACTGAACACACCTGCTGTGAGAAGATGGGCGAGCCCACAAGGTGCATGCCGTAAGGCTGAGCGGCGGTGGGCGAGCCCATCTGGACGAGCGGGGACTGGGCGAGTGAGGGCTCGCAGTGGGCCGGCGCCAGCGCCACCGGCGACATGATGCCGGCCGGCGGCTCGCTCATCATGTAACTCGGTGTCGACCAGCACATGTCCTGGCGGGAGGCGCCCCGTGTGACCAGCATATCTCCCGCCTCGTGTGAACAGCACATCTCCCGCCCCGTGTGACCAGCACATCTCCCGTCCCGTGTGACCAGCACATCTCCCGTCCCGTGTGACCAGCACATCTCCCGCCCCGTGTGACCAGCACATCTCCCGTCCCGTGTGACCAGCACATCTCCCGCACCGTGTGACCAGCACATCTCCCGTCCCGTGTGACCAGCACATCTCCCGCCCCGTGTGACCAGCACGTCTCCCGCTCCGTGTGACCAGCACATCTCCCGTCCCGTGTGACCAGCACATCTCCCGCACCGTGTGACCAGCACACCTCCTGGCGAGAGGTGCTCCGTGTTAAGACACGCCGCTCAGAGGTGCCGTCCAGAGCGCAGCCGGCCCGCTGTGGCGCTTCAGCATCACACACAGGGGACATCGCTCAGAGGTGCTCTGCCGCACACAGAAGCCACAGCCGGGGTATCTCATCCTGCACGTGGTGGGTATCGTTCAGGGGCCCCAACCCGCCCACCGCAGGTACCGCCCAGATATGTTGCGCAAAGCTGGGAGATCTTATCCCTATCGCAGCGGCCACCGATCTGAGGCTCTGCACCGCACACAACAGACATCAGAGGTCCCATGCCGCGCACAACGGACGCCGTAGACGCGCCGCCCTGCGCCCAGCCGTCCTGCACACAGCACTGCCGCGCAGGTGGGCGCAGACGTAGGCAGCCACGGCAGGACTGTTCTCTATTCTGCCGCACACAGCACATGGCCCGACGCCACATTCCCAGGCAGAGTGTGCCTGTTCACAGGGCTGGACCGGCCGGCGCCGCCCGTTCACCGGCGGCTGTGCGGCGGCCGGCGCCTCTCACCTGGGGTGTGCTGCACGAAGAGTCGGTGTGCGAGAGGTGACGCTCGCCGCACGAGGAGCGCTCGGACGTGCTGTGCCGGGAACGGCGGCGGCCTGGCGGTCATAGTCACGTGGTCACACACCGACACACAGGCACGCAACATACCGCGGCCACGCCGAGTCGCGACCAGAGCAAGTATGAGGTGGCTCAATGGTACCAGATGCAGCCCGAAATCTACCGCCTGATGGGCGAATGAAAGGTGCAGCGTTACTTCACACCGACGAGAAATGCCTCAATCTATTGATTTTTCGGGATTGTGGGGTCCTATGCGGAAAATGACTGACCTTCCAACATGCCGGAAGGTACTGGTTGAATTACCTTAAAACGTCCAGCATTCTCATAATGTACCCCAGTGATTTACATGTATTTTAACCAGTGCCTCCCAGCAAACTCATGTTCGTTATTTTCTGCACAAAACTCATGATCCCAAGTGGCAGGTCCAAAGCGAGGGGGGGGGGGGGGGCACGGAGCCATGCCTCCCTTCCTTGGACCCAGAATGGATTTATGGTCGGCTGCACAGACGCAGCTTTTTTAACACGAAACGCAACACAATTGTACGCCTTTGGGCCCCCCGGCGGCCTAGATCAGTCGCAAGCGAAAGTAAAAGATCCATGAGTAGACAAAAATAATAATTCGCTGAGTGAGGGTGGTGATTGCAAATATCAAGACTCATTACGAGCTATCCCACGGCCCTTGGCTGTTACCGGGGGCTCCATATATCCACTTGCGGGGCAATTCGAGCGCAAGGAGTCTTCCAGCTTGCCCTTCATTGCTTTGCAGGTGCTTGGAACGAATTCTTCCCATTCGCACACAAGGCTCTAAACGCTATGGCCGGGGACCCCATATGTTAACCCGCCAGAGTTCTTTCGATGGATGGATGAATGGGTGGGTGAGTGAATGAATGAATGAATGGATGTATGAATGAATGGATGACGAATGAATGGAACGAATAGGAATGACTGAAAAAAGTAAAGTGATTGATAAATGATAAATAAAATAAGGTATGGAAATCATCCAGACACCACTGAATGTATGAGGAGTCACGAATAAATATTGCATACACAAATACAAGGGATATGAATTGACTGTGTAATAATTGAGTAAAAAAGCAAAACACGACTATACTTACGACTGAACCATGCAATAATGGTGAACGTCACAGTGCATACATTACTCACGAAGCAATGCACACACCATGCATGAACTGCTAATGGACGAAATCATTAATCAGTCACCTTAACAGTTTGACAATGTCCAGAAAAAGACATACATGGACTCAGGGCATTGCAAGGGAGCCGGACTGCCACTGTCAGGCGGGTCGGCGGGATGGGGTCGGCCCACATACCGGGAGTTCTGGCGCGCGCTCCCGCCGGCGACGGTGACACCGGGCACGGCACCGGTGTGGAACAGAGCGGCCGCAGACTGTCGTACGGCACGGTCAGCCTGCAAACGGCCGCCACAGGTCACACACCGGCCGCCACACGTTTGCCACGGAACAACACGGGAGGGTGGCTCGCAGCAGGCGCTGGGTGGCCGGCACGCTAATGCACGGGTGTAGTTTCGCAAGATGAGTTGCGAGGGGGGGGGGGGGGAGGGGGTGAACAGTAAAAGTTAACCAAACCTACCCCCAAAATTTACACCAGTTTCCTTCCGGGATTTGACCCAATTCCTTCCCAAAGTTAAGGAAGGGGCTGAGATCCACCCAAATGAGTAGGAAAGTATACTCCCGCGCTCCCAACCATCCATGAAAGATGCTGCTGAAGCGTGGCGGCAATGCGGTCGGCGGGCACCAGGACAACTCTATAAAGAAACAATCTGAAGGAGGCCCAGCACATGTGCGACATCGTCTTGGCGAACAACCACTTCGCGAACGTTTTGATCAATGCTAACTGGCCATCACGGCACGCATGGATGATCACGTAACATGCCAACGCGAGTCCAAACAGACACGGCACGCGGCCTCACGGCCGGAGAGCAGGCACGGTACACGGCCTCATACACGCACGACTGCGGATAAATCTCAGCGACGGGAAGCGACGGTCAAACGGAACAGTCTGCCCGGTGATCCGCAAGGCTGTCAGGTGCAACGCCAACCATGCGTAGGCCAAAAGGTCCCCCGCGCCCACGATCGCCTTGCCCACTTGGCGCCTCAGCTCCACCACCCGGCGCGTGACGTACTTTTTGCCGAGCGGCTCGACGTAGCAGCAGACGGGCCCCTGGTTGGGCGCCATCTCCTGGATGTGCGCCACGTACAGGTTGGAGCCCGTCTCGGAGAGGTGGCGGTGCTCGGGCCGCGCCTCCGACTCCAGCTGCGACAGCTCGGCGGCGCCCAGCACCGGCCCCAGCTCCACCAGGCACTTGATGCCCGCCAGGAAGCCGTTACAGTCGGGCCGCTGCTGCTCGCGCCGCCGCTCTGGGGGACAGCGCAGGGAGGGGGGAGGGGGGAGGTCAGACGGCGTCACGACCGCCGCCGGACTGCGGTCAGTCACGCCCGACGGCACTTCCCGGCGCCGACGTCCGCGCACTCAACATGGGAGTGGATTGCACTCATGTTAAAGTTCGCGACATTTGATCACTCCGAGCTGGGCAGCGGAAAGGATAGCTTGAGCCGACCAGCCATTACCGCTGATGAACAGGTTTATAGTGATCACATCAGTAGAAAGGCAGCAGATTCTCCACGGCACAAAACCGAGGACCGACCGACAATCTCAAACAGGTGAGGTCAGTCCAGCCAGTCAGTCAGAACAGACAGTCCCCATGCAGTCCGAGCATCTGTCGAACTCGCAGATCTCGCATTGCGTGCCACAGGCGCGAGCCATCCCCGGTGACCGCCCCACGAGCCCTGGCCCGTCACCGACCGGCCAGCGGCCCTGCCGGCCGTTCGTCTGACCTTTGACGAGCTCCGTCCAGACGTCCTGCGGCAGGTTGCGGTAGTGCGTGCCGTCCAGCGCCTTGGCCGTCTTGTACGGGAACGGCACCATGTTGCGGTCGAGGATGTCCATCACGTCACAGGGCTCCTCGTCGGAGGTGGCGTACAGGCCAGCGCTCCTGCGGCGGTCCGGCTCGTCACACGGCGGCCTCCACGCCCACCTGGGGTCGCGCAGGCGCGTGTATCGCGGCGTTACATCTGTAGAATTTGTTTTACACAGTTTGTAGTACGCTGAGGGTTTGTCTGACGCCCCGCTGTTTTTAGTGTTAAGAGATTCCGTCGCGGTATTGCCGTGCTGAAGTTCTGCTTCCTTGGTGAAAAGCACATCCCGGAAGAGGCGAAGCAGCCTCGGATTGTCAATCGGAATCAGGTGTACGTGCTCGGACTCCGAGACACAAACCCCGTCAGACTGTGGCCACGACGTACTCAAACATTACCGAGGACGAAGTCGTTAAAATACATGGACACGGACGCAGTGCAGCCGCGGCGTGCCACGACCGCTTGCTGGGAAAATGTGTCGTAAATAGCTTAAACGAGCCAAATGCTGTCGAACCGCCAGCATCTGACCGCGGGCGTGATTAATGCGGTAAATCCGCCGGCTGCGATAGCAAGCACACAGCCTGCAACAACACTGTCGATACAGGTTTTGGTCCTCTAAACAGCCGACATAATGGTGCAGGGAGGGACGACACTGCAGTCGCTCCCAGTCGCCTCCTTCCCCAGGCCCCACGCCTCAGCCCGCCGCTGCACTGACCCGCTCGAGCTCTCGTGCTCCGGCGAGTCGGCCATCTTGCCGATCATGGCGGCAAGCGTGCCATCCTGGCTGCACAGGCTCTCCTTGCGCGTGCGGGCGTACTCCTTGTCGTACAGCATCTTGTCCACCGCGTGCTCCACGTTTTGGAGATTGTACACCGATGTGTACAGCGTGTGGTACAGCATCGCTGTACGAAACAAAAAGGTTACTTGCCAAACGAGGACACAATGCACAACCCTGATCTGAAACTGAAGTAAATACATTCCAAAGAGGCTAAGGACAGTACATATTTCGGAAGAGCCTGAATATCTGAATGATAAAGGTTCACAAGCAGTGAAAGCAGGGACGGTAAAAGGCCCGCTTCCTCCGGCACTGAGTTACCCGCCTCTACACACACGACGACTCACTATCCACCGCCCTCGCAGCCCTCCTGGCCGCACTGCCCCAGACAATGCCCAGCCGCTGCAGCAGCGGCCGCCTGCGTGCGCTCACACTGCCCCATGGCTCGGTCGGTGGCCTCCTGTTTGCTGATGACCAGATCGTAGTGGCTCGAATCTCCGCCGGCCACCTGGATCCACCGGCTGAAGCCGCGGTTGGTCACATTGGTCGGCGGCTGGTCGATGTCCTTGTACACCCAGAAGTCGTACCTGGCGGCAGACAGCCGGGCGGCGCGCCGTCACACCCCACGCCAGCGCCGTGGCTCGCCCCGCCCGCTAGGCGACACAACTGTGACGACAGTGTCGGGCCCGACAGCTGCGGCCGTGACTAACCGGCCCCACACGCGTGCCGACCGCTCTCCCGCCCGTGTCGATGACCTGCTGGGCACGTCCCGATGGCCGGGCCCTCGCTTGACCTAGCCCCATCCGACGAGACGTCAGAGGGAGAGAGGGCACCTCCGGCGAGCCGTCACCAAGTCACTCCTCCACCGGTCGTGACGGCAGCAAGTCACCGGCCGTGACGGCCCCAAGTGACCGGCTGTGACGTCACAAGTCCCTCCTCCACCGGCCGTGATGTCACCGTGTCCACCCCAGCGGCCGTGAAGTCACAGCGCCGCACCTGGTGATGTCAGCCAGCGCCATCATCTCGACCAGGCCGGCCGTCAGGCGGCCCTCCTGCAGCTTCACCACGTGCTCCGACATCGGCTCCGACGTGTACTGCCGGCCGTCGAGCACAAGAGTCAGCGCCAGGCCGGCACGGCACCCCCTGGACCGCATCCGAGCATGGCCTGCGCCGGCTTCCGGTCGGGAGACGGTGCAGCGTACGACATATCCACATGGCACGATCTGTGGCGGTCGCGGCTCACGGCCCAGTCTCCTACCGCAGCAGCGTGATGAGGAAGCGGTGAGGGAGAGGGTGTGGCCTCTGACAGTCAGACGCCAAAAACTGCAGCCACAGTAATATCTCACTTAGACCTCGGCTCACCGCAGACAAGACTAACAAGGACAGGATGATCTGCAACGCACCGAATCACCCCACAACATTCGGATGAATAGAATGAAAGAAAACACAAACAGTTATTTGAAAGACAAGAGCAACTATCATCGCTGGGACGGCAAATGCAAGGGGCAGAGGCCAAGACGCAGATCAGATGGATCGACCGGCAGCTGCATACCCCATGCTATCCCTAAACCCCCAACAGTATCACTAGCAGTGGACACTCAAAATACAAAACCGGAGACAACTTTCTGGCCACCAGCGACATCCAGGAAACCACTATGGATACACAGCAGGCCTTAACGTACTCATGACGGAAGGGGTGGCCATCTTACCTGAGCATACTCTTCCTGCTTCAACAGAAGTCGCTGACACGTCATCCGCTTAAACTTGGGATACTCCGTTTGCGTAAAACACAGCTGAAAACACGTAACCGGTGTTGAGAGAACGAGGGCCGCGACTCAGCACACTGCTCGTGTGACTGACCAATTGTCATCCATTGTGAAAAGCCCCCCTCACGTGTCGTTCTTCACACGCTGGCTGCGATTACAACACGCGCCACACTCCGCGTACCCCGCCGTACCGCACACAAAAGGAGAACATCGTCACAATGCGGGGCAGCGCTCACCTGTTCGGCCACGATGCGGAAGAGCGGCTCCTGCGGCGGCACCTTGAGCCGGTACAGGCCCAGCGTGTCCAGGTAGGTGTCGATCGGGCCGCGACTGGACGGCCGGCGAGCCATCGTCGGCCCGTACACGCGCACCGGGCGGCGGTACAGCAGCAGGTCTGCCGGCGCGCCAGGTGCTGCTGATGTCGCGCGTGAGCCGACAGCACGTGCTCCACGGCACGTGTCACGCCGTCTCATCAGCATGTCAGGCTCAAATGTGATCACATTTCCCACAAATCTCAGGAAACCATTTTGCTAGCCTCAATTATCCCAGGGCCGCTCCAGATCTGTTTCTTTCCCTTTTGAAGGCACGCAGGGATAATCGCAGTATCATCTATTCTGTGATCTCGACCTGACACACCCGAAACACCTCCGGCTCGTGCATCAAATCGGCGTGAATCAAAACCATCCAAACCAAACCAACATACATCTGGCCCAGATGATTAAAGCGGCGAACAAGTTACTTTATTAGGTCAAATATTTCTTGCAGAAATATTTACTATTTAGGCCTTGGATGGGATGAAGCGTGTTACGCTGTTGCAATGCATTGCTATGCATATGCACCCCACTTGACGTTAAATGATAACAGACGGTGACCAAACTTATAGTCTGGTACGCCGCCGCGTCTGATGCCGTGTGTTCCCGCTTCAACGTTGACAAGTGCATCATTAAACTAGATCGCTTCCAGAAACTACCTTTCAGCGTGAAGCACATGGTCCAGGGTCATGACCATTCATAGCCTATCAAGCTCATTTGCCTGATAAATATTACTTTGGTCTGATCGACAGTGTTTCGAGACTTGCCGATTGCAGGGAAACAAGCATGGCGATTTTCAACAATCAGCAGAAAGCAAATGTTCGTGTCGCACAGCTAATCCTTTGTCCTGACAAACAAAACGCCCATCCCGGCAACGTAACACGTTCGCTGGCAGCCGGCATATGAGGATGATCTCAACTAGGTTGTGAATTAACAGGCACAAAAACAGGTTGACTCATTTGTCTATCAGGCAAGTGGCCATGATCACATGTGCATGGCTCGCCAAGCGTCCAGACACGCTTCGCCACTGGCTAATCAATGATGCCCGACAGCACAATTGCACGACTGGGGACACGGACCACCGCCCAATACGAGCGCGAGTCGTGGCCATCCGGAGACCAAGGGCGAGACCACCGGTACCGACACTCTGTACGTCAACACGGCGCGGAGAACGCCGACCAACACGTGAACGCGCAGACAGCACATCCGTTCAGGAACTGTTCAGAGAGAGCTTGTGTTTGGGATGTAATGTTGTTTTAGGTCCCTGAACAGCAGCCGGCCTGGCGGGCGATACCGGCGCTAGGACTGCCAGCAGGCGCCCTACGTGTGCCACGCCCCTCGGGCGTCACCTGGGCAGCCACCCTTTCCACACAACACTAATTCAGCTTCGAGGAATGACTAATAGCACGTCGCCGGCCGTGGACAGACGAGGAAGTGCTACTGAGAAGGCCAAGGCTCGAGCATGACGCAATATCTGCCGACACTACAGATTGGCATCGCCGAGGCCAGCGGAAAAATGTCGAGCCTGTGATTAACCAGCGCTGGTGCAAAACCCAGAAAGCGGCCAGTATGGGGCTTGGCCGGCCTACAAAAGGCGACTGGACGCTGGCCAGATGAGATGGTCCTGGTTTAGGGCTCTGTGTGGTCGCGATGTGGCACTGAGCGCCACGAAAAGATCTCTTAGCGGTCCTGCACAGCTAGAAATGTCAGCCGCCATGTTGGTTTAACTGGAATGGCGGTTATCGAGCAGTGGCCTTACAGTCCCAGCAAGAAGTTAAACTGCATATAATACGGCGTAAATGAACACCGTGCCGTAATCTCCTCTCTGTCGACTCCACTCTAGAATACACGGTTGTGACGTGCTTTGCCACCATCGTGGAGTCTTGGACGTTCTTTGGGGCTGCATTAGCCGGGGCGCTTTCACTTAAAACACTGGACCACGAGTGGGCCGGATAAGGTTCCAGGAGGGAACATCAGACTAGGTGTGATCAGGTGTGACCAGATGGTACTAGACCAGGTGTGGCCTGGAGGTGGTTCAAGGAGGGAACATCAGACCAGGTGTGACCAGGCGTGACCAGATGGTACTCGACCACGTGTGACCTGAAGGTGGTTCAACATCAGACCAGGTGTGACCAGGCGTGACCAGATGGTACTCGACCACATGTGACCTGAAGGTGGTTCAACATCAGACCAGGTGTGACCAGGCGTGACCAGATGGTACTCGACCACGTGTGACCTGAAGGTGGTTCAACATCAGACCAGGTGTGACCAGGCGTGACCAGATGGTACTCGACCACGTGTGACCTGAAGGTGGTTCAACATCAGACCAGGTGTGACCAGGCGTGACCGCATGGTACTAGACCAGGTGTGACCAAGGGAACATCAGAAAACAAACCTCTCGCGATACGGTCACGTTCCATGTGGCTGGAAGTGAGCAATGCGATTGCAAATGTTTGCAGCACTAGCATTCGCTTGCAAACACTTGATTTCTGTGCTGCCATACATACAACATGCTCTTGAGCTGAAAATTTACCTGGACCCTAGCCTTTGCTTATCACCCACATATGCATTCCATAAAAGCACTTTTCAAAAACACTTTACTTACTGCAGCATATTGATTATGATACAATAAACTCGCTTCCATCGCCATTGAAGGCCGTGTTTCGAGCTCGCCACGCGCCACCGGTACCGTGGTTTGCTAGAGTGGCCATCTAAGCTCAGTGTCAGACATAGGGTTCAGGGTGCATCCCATGTCCGGAACAGCACTCTGGACAAGGGACAATCTCACTCACTTACATGAAATAAAACAGTCAGCATGTGATGCAAGTGATCTAATGAATGTTGATGCTTAGACTGGTCCATTCAAAACATCTAGATGCCACTGATGTGGAGATTTCCATCCACATAAAATCACTGATCCAACAGGAGGGTGCACTGCCAAAACCTTGCTGATGACTTATCAATTGATATGTTTAGAGGACAAGTGATGACCCATGTTCAGGTTCCATGCATCCTGACTGCAGTGGTGAACTCAAAGCTGTTACTATAACCAAATTGCATCCAACATTGTGAGCCCTTTTGGCAACCATGTATCCTCACACTGGTGTCACTGTATCACCACTACTGATTAATCATATGAAGAAGCATTCCCTCATTTCAGAAATGGCCTAAGCCATTCAGTGGTAGTTGATGAAAACAGGCCCACCTTCTTTGATCTGGCTTTGGAATTCCCAACCACTTAAGAAGTATGGGACATTCTTGGCCACATGTTGAATGTTGCTGACATTTCTGTTTGGTCTGGCATGTCTTTGACATCAGTAATCTCTCATTTAGTATGTGAAGCCTGGTATGTACACAATAAACATTGGAACATCACATTGCACAGCCTAGACCAGTTAAATCACTGCATGTATGAGACCTGAGCAGGTAGGTTCTTCACAGGTTGGTTTGATTTGAGCTTTGTTTAAAGCTGCATTGGTCAAAGAACCAGTGCCCCACATATCATTGACCAGCTCCTGTCATCTGTTGAGAAATTACCCTTACTGGCCACTGTTCTTAGAGCACCAATGTGAGTAAATCCAGCTGCACTCATCACATTCCAGACACAAACACAATTTCAGCCTCCTGCCAACATCATGGTAACATGCTTTTCATCATATTCTTTGCTTCATCAACTTGCTAATGCACCTTTGTGGCATTGTCCCATTCTGGAGGCTTTCAAAAGCATGTGACATGCTAAAAACTAATCATCATTGGTGGGCATGAAGGTGACAAATGTTCTGATGACTTCTAGGTCTGGCAGCAAGCTTTTTACAAGCTGGTCACATGGCTTTATGCATGCAAAACAAATTACTCATGGCTACCGGCATTTGCCCCATGAAGCGAAGCCTATGTCTAGTGCTGCACACATTGGTGATAAAGTGTGTTGGCACTGCTTAGGTTAAATATCAGAGAGGCCCTCATTCTCTATGTCAGTGCAAACTAATCAACATGGATTCAATTCTTGTATACAATTTCTGCAAATTACAATGACACTTTTTGCAATTTAAAACCCCTACTTTCACTGAATCAAAAATAACCTGGCAAAGCAAAGAAGTGGTAATATATCTTATTGATATTATCATCAAGCTTTAAAACTTACAAGCTCCCAGCTTCAGTTATGCTATCATTGCACTTCAAAAGGTTAAGTTATGGTCTATGGTGCAGGCAATGTCAGTAAAATATTGTACTGGACCTTAAGCATTTCTAACAAACAACTTATTTTTTCCTCCTGAGCCAATGGACAAGCATAATATACCTAATTCTTTCATTGATTGATTGCTTGTGAAATCTCCTGCAAAAAGGATGCTTATCTGACATGTAAGCACCAAAACCTTAATTTTTACACAAAGTGCACCTTGAGCAATGTACTACAAATGCTCAGCACCTGGTACCATGACCACACCTCCAGTGTTCAGATTCTTTGGATCCCTTGACACAGGACCACATCTAACAATAATAACTGGTCATGCACTGACATAGCCTGCCATAAAGAATGTACAATAAGGCATAACCAATTGCATCTTCTACATATTATACATACCTAATCAAATTGAGATTGTATGTCACGTGATAACTGTAAACAATATACTCTGAAAAATGTGCAAACATGATCAACAGCATTTAACTTAAAAAGCAAAAGGAGCATGGGTGCTGGCAGGTGATAAAAATGCCAAAACTTGCCAAGTTTAGCATTAGCTGATAATAGCGAACAACACATGGCATCCCTATTTCAACAGACCATCACCTTCATGTTGCCCTGAAAGGTACCATCATTATAATCCATTACACAGAGGAAGGAAAAAACTTTTGCATGCAGCACAAAATCAAAAAATGATACAGTACATGCTTTTTTTCAAACCAAGAGGACAAGGGTATGAAACTGTAAAGCAAACCACACCACCCAAGCAGCACATACATGTAAAGGAAGCAGATCCAAACCACATATCATGCCCAAAATCAAAAAAAGGCAACAAGTTAGGTACCTGACATGCAGCACATCGCACCATCCCCATGCAAAGAAAAGCTGGGCATATACAGTGCTCTTGACGGCGCCGCTCCAGCAGCCATGTCCGAGAAGCTCCGCGTCATGCAGGTAAGGACTTTAACTATTACCCCTATTACCTAGCCTTGTACGGTGAGGCCCTTCAACGTGTTCCCGAAACAGCAATTACTCTTGTAATATGAAAACACTATCACTCGCAGGCACGCGTCAAACTGCCCAGCTCGGACGCGGTATCTGCGTCGTGTTTTCAATGGTTGCCGACATTGGACATCCATACGCGACCTTCCGGACCTCTGTTTTCATGAGGATGCCATGCATATTTGTTTATTCTTAATTTAAACAATTTTGGACGCAATACCAAGAGAATACGTCCTGAAATGCGGCTATTTTATTTTAATTCAGACATTTTCTTCATTTTTGAACCTAATCTTGAAAAATTTCCCCAAACGTAATTCGTAGAAACTGAGAGGCTACTGAGTATCAGCTGGTTCTCGTTGTTTCCTGAGTTCAGGCTTCCGGTGTCGGCGGCGCGGTTCGCGATATGAGGATTCCGGGTGGGAAGTGCAACATTCCATCGTTCGTGAAATCACCCTCAGTTCCAGAACGAATAGTACTTATTAGATTGAAGTAAACCTAACTCAGGCTTTTTATGTTTTTTCGGGGAGGGGGCGGCAAAACCAAAAACTTTTCCGGAAGTCTGCCGGCAAGCCACGACCGCGCGAAAGACTAAGATGACTAAGACGCCGCATTTGCGACCTGACCGGGATGCCTTGATCCATGTCCGCTGCTGCGCCGCTACATCTGCGTCGCATCATGCCCACTGCTGGAGTACGGGCAGTGTTAAATATGCTTCGTGCCGTAGGAGTTACTTGAGAAATATGGTCACTAATTGCTTTTCCGTGTCGTAAGCCTGAAACCCTTCACTCTCTTCCATGTATTGGGGAGTCCTAATCCTGATGATAATAGACACACCCGCAGCGTGTGAGCGATATGCTTTCGGGGTGTAGTTTCGTATTCGGCTTATGGGCAGTAGCGCAGGCAGGAGGGGGAGTACGTGCCCCCCTAGGTTCCGAGGGCCCTTTGTGCTCCATCGGGACTTACGATTAAGGACCCGAAAGGCCGACCGGAGGTCCTATTTGCGAACCTCAGCTCACAAGGCCGGACACTCTAAAGCCAGCCAGGGGGCCCCGCGCGCTGATCAGGGGCCCCTGAGCCGATAAGGGTCTATATGTCAGTCCGACATTACCAGCAACGCACAGCTGGCTCCGTGGAGGCATGGGCCTGACGGCCCGTGTCTCAAGCAGGGACAACTGGAGCCAGCGTCTTACATTGATCGGGACCCCAGCGTCTATCAGAGCCCCACAGCCGCTAACGAGGGCCTTGTGTTGGAAAGGGGTTGGCCAGAGGCAGTGTCCGAGGAGCCCCGAAGAGCCTGGACGGCCCACCGGGTCCGACGATCAATGGCCCGATTGGAGTGGCTAAGGGCACAAAAGGCTGGTCCGAGTCTTATTCAGGGACCGCGGTCTGCGGAGACGAGCCCTCAAATGACAGAGGGCTCTTTGTGCCGATCGGGGACCCCCGGGTCGATATGGGTCTGCATGTTGGTCAGGCACCATCAGTACCGTACAGTAGGCTCTGTGTCGGTATGAGGGCCCACTCCCAATCAGCTACAAAGCTGGACTTGTGATTCACACTGGTCGGAGCCCCTGTATCTGCCTTGGGCCCCCAGCACCTAACAGGGGGCTTGTGCTGGCAAGGCGCCCTGAGCCGCCCGAGGGCAGTGTTCGATGATGCCCGATGAGGGGCGCGGATGGCCCAACGGAAACGACCATCAAAACCCCGGTTGGAGGGCATAGAGGCTGAAGAACTGGCTGGCTTTATAACTGGCTTTATGTAGGTCACATAGAAAATCGCGGCCGTAGGGTCGTGACCTGAAATAACAGTTTAAATCACTTTTGCACCGTTTGAGAATCCCCTGAGACAATGCAGGTGTCTAAGTGAGCCAAAGATCTCGAACACAGAACAGTCGGCTCCTTGTCAGTCTGAACCCTGGAAGTCCGTTTCCCAAGTAGGAGCAAGGCCGGGGCTTCAATTTGTATTGGTCTGGGTCCCTTAAACAGAGGATGAGGCACTGTGTCGGTCAGTGGTCCACATTGCCCACCAGGGGACCATGTGTCGGCTGGTAGCCATAGTCGATCACAAGCTTTGTTTGGGGAGGTCCGAAGAGGGGTCGGAGGGTTCCTCGAGACCCAAGATCCAGGGCCCGATTGGACTTGGGCCTGCCCCCACCCCCAACCCCATCAGTAGTGCCGTGACCCGAAATGTTAGGCAGGGGGTTTCTGGTATTGCCGTTTGATAGGGGTTCTCTATCCCAATTACATAGGGCATCGGCACGGAGCCATACAGCCGGTTCCATGTCTGTCTGATCCTCTTGAGGTCCATTTTCCAAGCAAGAACGAGGCCAGGGTCCGCGATTTACAACGTTCGGTGTCCCTGACACAGTGAGGGGCTCCTGTGTTAGTCGAGGGCCAGGTATCCTGTGGTGGTAAGTGTCCCCGGGCCGACCAGGGGCAATTTTCTAGGGAGCCCCAAGAGGGACAAAAGGATCTCTTGAGATTTAAGGTCAATGACCCGACTGGAAGACTGAGGGGCCCAAAGGACTGGGCGTAAGCCACATTAAAGACTCCCACCCGTAGGGCCGCGAACTCAAATGCCAGTTAGGAGCCTCTTGCACTTATTGGAGACCCATGAGACAAAACGTCCTCTGTTTCGGCTACAGATCACAAACACCGAACGATCGTCTCCGTGTCGGCCTGAGCTCCGGGCCCATTTTCCAAGCAGGAACACGGCCGGGTCCGCGATTTTCATTGGTCGGGTCCCCTACATTGATGCGGGGCTCCTGTATCGCTCAGGGGCCCACAGTGCCAAACAGGGTAGCAGGGAACTGTATCAACAAGGGGCCTCGAATCGGTCGGGGAAATATTTGCTCAACAGGGGTGGGGACGGGACCCCTAATAACAGGGGGTCTCTTGCGTTGGTCTGGGCCCTCTGACATTGAAAGGAAACACGAGAGTTTATGACGATTGTTCAGTGAGGCAATGGAAGGGTTCTGTGCCAGTTAGGGCCCCTGGTGCCGAACGGTGGGCTCTTCAACCCATATCCAGCACCGGCCCGTTAAGCCGAATCGAAGTCTACGTGGCAATGAATGGACCACCACTGACGACCAAGGGGCGTTGTTGCGCCAATAAGGGCCCCTGCGTAGATCCAGGGCAACTGTGTTGGTCAGAAGGCCTCCCGCGTCAGGGAGCGGAGCAGTGTGATATAATGCATCCCTCTAAAGGCCTCCGGATTGGCCAGGAGATCCCGTCCCGCATGGCCTGAACGGCAGTCAGGCACCACGTGGTGCGATGGAATGGCCGTTCAACCCTTGACCGGGAACCACAAGGTGTCCCTAGTGTTCTACTCAAGGTGACCCCTTTGTCGGAGACAAATAATGGTTCTCATTTCACAACAGCGGACGAATGGCGATGTTCGGGCTACTCCGACGCCAGTTCTCCCTTTGACTCCAATGCGGCAGATTGTCCAAGGTGTGTGAAACCCTTGCACCACCTCTCACCTGTCCAGACCCACTCGCAGTTTGCGGGTGATTGATGTCCGGGTGCGGGCAACGCTGGATCACGCCCGCACCGAGCATGAGTCTGCAGCCGCTCCTCAGCTCCCTTTCTCTTCCCCCCGTATTATTGTGCACGGACGGCTCCGGCATAGATGGTATACAAAACGTTAAAATATCGTGTATTTTATTTTAAGTATATACCTATAAGGTGGGAGCATTCTAGCATTTCTCCGTCATCGACTGCATCAGGCCTTTTTGGTATCACGACAGATATGCAAAGCGGTAAAACTAAACGTGATCAAAAACAAAATCAGATCCACGTGCTCGCGTATGACTTCCCAGACATTCCTTCTGGGCGCAAAGACCGAAAAACTGCGGCAAGCAAGGACCTTAAAACGAGCTCTTCAAGACTATGCAACAACAAAACACCACATCACTCAGCACGCCACCAATTCTGCGCGAAATGTTGTGACTAAGCTAAAAACACTACCGCCTACACGGCGTATGCCTCAGTTTAAAGCTTCCGTAAAAACGATCACTCTGGACCACGGTCACCGCCAGCGGAACATCATGTAAACCGAACGCCATGCGCCGCGCTGCCTCTGTGACGAAAACGCCCCGTACCGTTGCCTATACTAGCGGACAGAGCCGCCTCCCGTAGCAGGCACCGCCAAGGCCACCGAGGTACAGCGCCGACGACGCCGGTCGGACGGCAGCAACCACCGGATCACAACGGACACTCGCGCGTGCCGCCAGGCACCTCTGACCGCTGCCCCCCCCCCCCCCCCCCCCCCCCTCCCCACACACACATCCCAGCCCTCCCACGTGCCCAGCTTCCGAGCAGAGAGCGCTGCAGGCGAGCGTCGGCCGGTCATAGTTCAGCTGTCGCCAGCGAGGAGCCGACCCCGGTCACGTCTCGGCACACCAGGCAGCCCTGAAGCAGGTGAGGGGGGTCTGAGGCGATCGGTCATCAGGTCACGACCGCTCATCGAGCCGCAAGGCGCCGCATCAGCCAAAGCACAGCCGGCCATCATACTGCACAAATACGTGGAAAATCGAGACATTGATAAATGGCATTGCGGCGCGCTCGGTAATGATGGATGGGCATTGCACGACGTTGTTGAGTATTGCCCATGCATCTTACCGGTAGGCGCCAAAACTGAAGTCAAGGGAATAAGCGCTGAACAGCATTACTTAAAGACAGGACCACCGAAACTGGTACCAATGGTCCGGGCGCAAGCGGCGTCGGGCCAACTGAACGAGTGGTCTGGTCAGGGCACAGACGGCGCAGGACCAACTGAGATTAGCCAACTGGGCACAGACAGGGCAGGACCAACTGAAATTAGCCAACTGGGCGCAGACAGGGCAGGACCAACTGAAATTAGCCAACTGGGCGCAGACAGGGCAGGACCAACTGAAATTAGCCGCCCGGACACAGACAGGGCAGGACCAACTGAGATTAGCAACTAGGCACGACAGGGCAGGACCAACTGAGAGCAGCGAGGCGATGCCAGACTGATTGGGACCACCTGGGGCCAAAGGTCAGACAACGGCCGGGTGACCTAGACCGGACCGAGCAGGACACGACAACACAATCCAGGACAGGACGCAACAGCGGAGCGACCAACATTACGCAGTTCCGTATTTAAGTCTAAGGAATGCTTGACAGTGGATGATTTGCAGTCTGGACTTTTCCCGACATTTGTCCTCGTCGCTGGCTTTCTTATGAACACAATATTTTGGTCAGTGACATTTCCGGGCGTCGTCAGCAGTCAGTTGGTCCTGAAAAGGACCGCCAGTTGCTTGCCGCACCGTCGTGGGGCGACGGGCAGATGTCGGGCATGCACCCCTGTGGTGACCGTTCGGTGCCTGGCCCACGGTTACGTGGTATCGTGTGCGTGTTCGGCGTAACACCGACAAGCGACGCGGCTGCGTCAAATGGTCTTTCTCAGGACCGTGTGACGTATGACGACCGGAGACCGGGGTAGTCACTGGCCGGCAGGTTGTGTAAGCACCGGTGTGTGTTGTACGCCAGAACAGTGACGAGGACAGTGCAGGCTGAGTGGTTATTCCATCCGTACTAAAAACTCGCTTCGGACGGTAAAGCCAGGCATCGAAGGATGGGTGCTGGCCTTCGCGCTGTTTGGTTTAGCCTCTCGGGCCCTAAGTTGTATCTGCCCCGTTCATCTGGGACGTCCAGAATGTATCAAGGTCACTGATCTCAGCTGCCCCCCCCCCCCCCCCCCCCTCCACAATCAGGTCCGAGGCCACAATATGGATACAGGTAAGAAAGGCTTAAACTGCTTTTCTCACATTGCGAGAGCTTTCCAAGACTTTGCCGACTTTTAGTGTTTCAGGTGCCAGTTAGGAGTTCTGCCTGGCATTTACGTCTAACTAAAGCTTCCTAGCATACCAGAGATCGCTTAGTTTCAACACATAACTCATGCTGGGTTAGTTCATCGCAGTTGGTTCCATCTAGTCCCGTGTCGGCGTCGCTGCTATCGACGACAGCCCTTGACAAACAACACTGATTCATCGCCGTCTGTGAATGCCTGCAGGACTTACCCGGACCAAGGACAGAATAAACAGGGATCAGCGAAAAAAGGCAACCGTCGGCACCAGCAGGGGCAATGAGCCAGCCAACATTAACGGTCATCCTACATGGTGGGGGCTTGGAGGAGTTTTTTCCGAAATGAATTCTGAGGACTTTTGAGTACGTCCCTGAAATTCTGCGTGGCCGGGTTTAATTTTTTACACACGCGAAAACTTAAAGCTCGCGACTTCCACCATTCATTATCTATGACCTCTTTCTTGTGGTCATGTCGATGACATTCTACTATGAAGTGACAAATATCGCTGACTTCTCGCAAGAATGCAGTACAAACCAGTTTCCTAGATTCCTCATATCTACATCACTCTAAGTCATTACAGCGGCTCCGTACGCTATCGCAATCCCCGGGTATCCAGGTTACTCAGACTAGGTCAAACTTTCACATTTGTGACCGGATTTACCGCTCGGGGATCACACAAAAGACAATCGCTCAATTACATCAACGCTTATCGGCTTCCATTCAACCCCCATTCTCTCCTCAGTGATTCTTATCCTGATTTGCTCGTGCTCCTCTTTGAGTTTTTGCACAGTACAGGATTAGACATTTTCATTTGAATAAAGGTTTTTTTCCTGCATAATTTGGCAAAGATGGCAGGTTTTTCCCGCTTGGCTAGGAGTCACGGTTTTTCCTAGTTAGGACTTTCCAGGACCCAATAACATCACACGGCACTACAAGGTCGTGCCGGACAGCGGAGCCCGCGACTGATCTCCCCGTTGATGCGACGAAGCGGGCCGGCATCCTTTCATCGCACAAGTCGCCGACAAGTCAGCTGAGCCAAGGCCATCGCTGACACGGACACCCCACGCAGGCCTCGCGGCACCTGAGGAGTCTGGTGGAAGGGCCGGTGAGGAGGCTCATTGTCGTTCAAACGTACTGAATGCGTGTTGTGTCGTGATGAAATAAACATACTGCTGCGGTCTGCTTTACTTGCTATAATCTTGCTGAACAAAACTGAGCCGGGTTGACGTAACGTCACTTCATAATACCCTCTCTCTTGCTTTGCGCCGGACAGCATAAGTTGGTTTAAAGGAATCGTTGCCTGGCCTTGTGCCGGAAGTAAATCCCCCCCCCCTCGGAGGTGACTTTAAGTCCGTCGAGGGAAAAAAGGCCTTGCATTGGCCCACCAACAAGAAAAAGAAAAAAGGATCATACCATTTAAACCTGAATGACAAATGTTCAACAGCTTTGAAAGAGCTCTTATACGATTTTTTTCTCTTTATCGCTGCAGGTTGTACATTTCCTGATGTGACCGGGCGCGTCAATTCAACAATTGCCTTGACCTCCTCGGCCTGGCACGACACATCAAAGGTCACACGTGTTGTATTCAGTAGCGCCTAGCTGGCAGATTCTCGCCAAAGCTATTCAACGCCGTATTCCAGATCGTCAAAGCATGCTTATTTCTTGAGACAACACGATGAGTCTACCAAGCTCTTATTAGACTCGTGGCCTGGCTTGAACTGCCACGAGGTCACGTTCCTCATTGTTCAGTCACACCCATCTGATGCAGTTCGGTGAGAGCTTTCGAATACCATTTTCCCACATGGCTCTGGGTTGCTTAGTTTTCAACTTCATAGGGCCTTCGACTTCTGAGGCTCCCTAAGAAGGCGAAGGTGAAGCAAACTGCCGTGGGGAGAGGGTAACAGGCTCGGGCAACCAGAAGCAGCAGTGGGAAAAGCTAGCAAATATATCGGCACTATTCAACAATGAATGCGGCCAGCATTACCATGGCTACGCCCCATCTCGGCACCAACAAAGGGAGAGCCACCACCAGAATCGGACAGGGCGGGGAGGCGACCGGAACAGGATCAAAGGAGGCCTGAAGCGGTTCCCTCCCCTGAGGGAGGGGGAGAACTGCTTCACCGCGTCACCTGGCGACGCCGCGTAATAGGGTGTACTGCCCGCAGCAGCAGCTGGCGGCCTGGCCGCGGACGGCCGGCCGTTGAGTGAGAGTAGATGAAATCGCAGATGAATGTGCGTTTATATAGCTATACAGATATATCAGTTGTGTTTGCCCATACACCTGTCTGCGACTTCGATAAGCTGCATGGCATATACATCGTCATTGTGATGTGTTTCAGCTACATTAAAAAAGCTGATGCTACCTTAGAACGTCCAGCCTTTGTTCAAAGTCCGTACATGCGCTTGGAAAAACGGCCAGAGTGCGCGGGACCTCATGCAATACACTAACCATCAAGTGGGACAAACACAAAGGAACAAGGAGAAGGCCTGGCTTACCTGGAGTGCCGCGGCGGAGAGTGTGCGGCGCCGGGGCGGGCCAGACTGGACGGCGCCGCCCGCGCCGCGTGCTGCCACTGCCGCCCGCCGAGCGTGCTCCTCGCTCGACCAGTGGCGCCGGGGCCGGCCGCATTCGCGTGCTGACCTTGCAGACTGAGGACCGGCCAGGACCGCGCGACTCTGGGTGTGGTCGAAACCGACCGGTGCTGACACGCCGGCGCCAACGCAGGCCGGTCCAGGGTCTCGCTAGGAAGCTGGCTGCGGCTGGCAACATTGGTAACGTAAGGCTGGCAACTACGGTTACGACAAAGGCGTCAGCGTTTTGGTGGGGGACATCCGGGGTTGAGTGGTGGGGAGGAGAGGTGTCGAGCCTTTCCCCAGTCGCTGGTGGCACCTCACCAAGACACTGTGCCGGGTCACAGCCTTTTCCCGACGGCAGTGGACATTTGAAGTACCAGCGCGGGAGACGTCTCCATCTCCTCCGGGGTCAACGACGGCGTCCAGTGCTTGAGCTCCGTACTGGCCGGAACGCCTCCGTTTCCATGTCTGCCCTCCGCGCCGCCTTCCGGCGGTGCAACTAATACTGATCACAGTTTCTCTCGCACGCAAGCCGAGTTCAGCGCCGATTCGCCTCTACCGAGTCGGACGCGGCCACCGTCGCATCCAGCCATGCAGGGCGGTACGAAGGTCTCCGGCGGCTCGCTGAGACGTCCGGGCGTATTCGTGAGACTCCATTCCCTCTTTGTGACTAATCCAGCTCGACTGAGCGAACCGACAATGAGCCATGTACACGGTGCAACACCACGCTCGTGTCAACAGATATCAGTGGGGCGCCACTGGGCCCATGCGGCGCCCCTGGTTCGGCAGGACGTCCGTGCGACGAACCATCTTTGTGAAACGACTCCTCCATCGCAGCCACACAATCCGCCAGCGCCTCCACCTGTCGTCGTGCCTCCTCGCCCTCCGGCGGACGGCGCAGCGCCTCCTCCCGGTCGCGCTGCGTCAGCGCCAGCTCGTCAAGCCGCCGGCGCAGCGTCTCGCTCTCGCGCTGCGCTCGCTCCAGCTCGGCCTCGGGCACCCAGCCGCGCTCGGCCAGCAGGCCGCGGCGCAGCGCGTCCACCTCGGCGCGCAGCCGCTCGGCCTCGTCCTGCAGGCGGCGCACCTCCAGCTCGGTGTAGCGCGCGATCCGCTGGCTGGACGACTCGGGCCGGCGCGCGCGCTCGGCGGCCAGCTGGCGGCGAGCCGTCTCCAACGCCGCGGTCAGCGCGACCACCTGGTGCGGCGCTGCCGCGGGCGCGGCCGCCGCCCAGAGCCGCACAGACCGGGGGTCAGCAGCCGCCACCGCCGCCCGTAAATGGCGACGGACGCCGTCAACGCCGGCGGCGGAGTCGCTGTGACAGGGCGGCTCAACCACGGCTGCCACGGTCGGCTCGCGGTCGGAACGAAGCTCGTCGAAGTCGAAGATCTCGCTGGCGGAGGGCTCGAGCGGGTCGTGGTCAGAGAGGAGCTGGCGGTGTCGCACGGCGGGTGGCAGCAGCGACACGCGGCCACCGTCAGTCGGCGGAGGAGACGCCGACTCGCCGCAGATGTCCGGATGACCAGCACTGGCTAGCTTGTCATCCGTTGGGCCGAGGACTTTGTCCCATTCAGGAAGCGACTCTAATATCGGGAGAGCAGATATACAGGATGCCGACGGTTCATCCGAGGACTCAGAGATCGCTAGATCACAGGCAGTGGGTGTTGCTTCCTTCCGCTCACGGACCTGAGAAGCAACGCAAATGGAGAGGGCGTCTGAACTTTCCGCCAATGCAGGGTCTGGATGAGATGTGATAAACGTCGCCGCGGCCGCCGGGCATTCGGCCAGCGCCTGACCTGTCGCATCAACATTACGATACGCCTGCACCAGCGCTGGCTCCGGTGTGATCTCACCCGGTTTCGAAGCCGCACCTCCCTGCAGTGGTCGGTCAGTAGGAAGCGACGGTGACAGGGGCTGGTTAACGGCACATGCACTCGCCAAAAGACCCTCTGCGTCGGCCGGCGGCCGCTCGGGAGCTGGCGGCGGGACGGCGAATAGCGAGAAGAGGCGGATCTCGGCACTGGGCTCGGCCGGCTGCGGCTCGGACCGCACCAGTCCGCCCGCCGCCTTCTCCGCGCCTGCTCTGACGGCATGATGCTGGACGGGCGGTCCGGTGGCGAGGGGCCGACTGCCCTCCGGCTGTAGGGCGGCGAGCTGCTCCTCCAGCCGCTGCACTACGGCCGCCGAGGCCCGCAGCTCGGCCAGCGTCGTCTCCGTCAGCGCCAGGGCGGCCGCACGCGCTCTCTCCGCACCCTGGAGGCGTGCCTCCAGCCGGCCGACGTCGGCGGCAGCCGTCTCCGGTCGCCGCGGCGCCGCCGCCGCCTCAGCCGCCGCCCGGTCGAGCTCGGCCCGCGCCAGGCCGCGGCGCAGCTCAGCGTTCTCGGCCGCCAGCCGGGCACCGGCGTCGGCGGCGCGGCGCGCCCGCTGCTCGGCGTCGCCGGCGCGTCGGCGCGTCTCCTCGCACTCGATGATGACAACTGTGAGCTCGGTGTCGAGCCGCGTGGCCACCTCGTCCAGCTCGCCGGCGCGCACCCTCGGCGGCGCACCGTTCCGCCTCCAGGCGCGCGATGAGCGCGCGCAGCTCGCCCGCCGACTGCTCGTCCGAACTGTCCGTCTCCCAGTCGGACGAGAGCTCGTCCAGCTCCGGGATCTTCTGCAGGGTGGTGTGGCGGTGGCTGTTTCGGTGCAGTACAGAGAGCGGCATCCGTCGACAAACTGTGGACGGCGGCGGCCTCGGCGCCGTCTCCTCCTCCTGCTGTCCGCCATCGTCGTCAGAGTCGCTGAGCACCTGTGCACGACGGTCGTCCGCCTCATCGTCCTCCAACTGCCCGGCTGACTGCGGCGCTTCAGCCAGGTAGTACTGGGTCGGATCATTTCCGATAGGCGACACCCCGTTCTGCACGCAGCCACGTCGAGTATCCTGCGAACCTGAGTCGACCTCGCCCTCCGTTTCACCCCAGTTGGAGCTGCTCGCCGCATCCGCCGCCGGGATCGAGCCTGGGCTTGGTGCTCCGGCTTCCGAGGCCTGGCCGACACCAGCCGCCTCTGGACCGAGCGGCCCGCTGACCGACGTCCCCGCGTCCCAGCCGGGGCTGGGTGCCGACGCCGCGGCGGTCGGCCGTGCAGCCCGCCCGGCGTCAGACGATGAGCTGACGCTCGGCGAGGATAGGGGACCGCCGTCTGCCGCCGCGGAGGTAACCTGTTCGCCGTGCGGCGACCGAGCGGCGGCGGGCGAGGCGGCCGTCTGAGCCGAGGCGAGCTCGCGGAGGAGCTCTGCGATCTTGGCGTCCCTCTCCTCCAGCTGCGCTCGGACCCTCTCGCCGTCGGCTCGCAGCGCGTCCAACTCCACCCTGGCCCGCGCCAGCTCAGCGGCCCCTTCGGCCGCGCTTGCCGCCCACCGACTCCGGTCGGCCTTCAGCGCACCGAGCTCGGCCCGCGCCTCGGTCAGCCGCGCGCCTCCGCCGGCCGCGGCGCGCCCCGCCCTCGCCCGGTCCAGGTCGGCGCGCGCCTTCTCTAGCCGGGCGCCGACCTCGGCGGCTTCACGACCGCGCGCCGCGAGCGCCCGGTGCAGCGCCGCCGCCCAGCGGAGCGCCGCGTCCCGCTCGGCCGTGCGCCGCTGCAGGGTGGCTTCCAGGCGGCGCTCCGGCGGCCGCGGTGGCGCCGGGGGCCGAGGCACGCCCGGCGACCCGGTGGCTGGCGCCCGAGCCGGAGGGTGCTGGCTAGTACTCCTGGCTGGCGGTGGGCAATCGGCCGGCGCGTGGGCATCACGGGGTGCGTCCGCTGGCGGTTTCATTGGCTGGCGGCGCGCCGGTTCCTCCGCAGGCCGGCCAGGCACCGACTGAGACTGGGACTGGGACTGGGGCTGAGACAAACACTGGGACTGGGACAAGGACTGAGACTGGGACTGGGACTGGGACTGGGACTGGGACTGGGACTGGGACTGGGACTGGGACTGCTCCTCTAAGGATGCGTTCCGGCCCCATGGTGTCACCTTCGCCCGTTCACGGGAAGCGGCACCACATGCCCCCGGCGAGCATACGGACGCCTTCTCAGCCGCTCGCCGCCTCAAGCCAATGACCTCTTCCTCCAGCCCAAGCTTGGCCTTCATCTGCTGCTCCAGCTTCATCTTCAGCCGGTCCACAATCAGCCGCAGATCCTCCGAGTCGGGCGGCGACGACGCGTGCCCAGCCCGGGCCGGGGTAGGTTCGGAGGCTGTCGGCCCAAAAGGTGCGGGAAGCTGCTCTGATGACGGCGAGCCGGGGGCCTGAAAATGACGGGGCACATACTGAGACGACGCGGAAAGAATGAGTTGGCCGGCCATTACGGGGCAAACACCGCGATCAGTCCTAGTTCCGCGTAGACAATGCCATTCCGTTCGAGGACGTTTTCCTTAACTAACAGCTGACAACCACCACATTAGTTCTCTACTGATACTGACAGGGCAGCTAACGTCGAATGCTTTCAGGACGCTTTTTACGCTTGTAACTTACAGCAGGATCGTGACGAGCCTTCGGCCAACTACGATAACTATTGAGCAGTGTGTGCATAACCCCCTCTGCGGCATCGCAGTCCTACTAGTCTGCTTGTTTGCCTGTTTGTGCTGTTTCGCCTCGTTCACAGCATAAACATCCGCCGCCATGCTGTCAGCGCGAGCCTACGCCCAACTGTGCAGCATGCGCGGCCCATGGCAGCATGGCGTACAACAAACAGTCCACTGTGGCTCGCTGTCAAGTCGTCTCGTTCGCGGACCATTTGCGGTCTCCGTCTTAAAAGCGAACACACCGCGCCTGTCTGCGGACCGGGCCGGCGAGCCTTACTGACCGCGGAGGTGAGCGGCCGCAGTTCGCCGCCCCCGGTCTGGCCTGGGTCGTCGCCGCCGCCGCCGCCGCCACACCGCTCGTCCACATCCGGTCGCTGACGGCTGGAACACGGTCACGTCAGATCACCGCTACTCAACGGCCATCGGGGAAGGGGGCGGCATGTTAGCTGGTACGCTGGCGGCAGCCTCTTGCGTAATGGTCTTTTCAAGCATAGAAACGTGCGATATGTTGATCGCTTAACCTATGGGTATGCGAAATAAGGGTTCGCTCCATACTCCGTTCCTAGTACGAGACCTGTTTCCCAGAGAGACATGTTAATGCTACCGGGGGGTCTCCTCCCCCCCCTCCCCCCCCCCCTCGGATGACTACACGTGAATGCGTGAGCGAGGTCAGGACAACTTTACGCCGATATGACTATGCATCGAAGTCATTCCAGCGGCACTCCATTGGTATCTCCAGAAACGGACGTACGTTTCTAACAATGTTTCGAATAGCCCGCACCTGTGGTATACGCAAACCCAAGTCTGTCCCGTTTGCACAGTTTCACGAGGCCCGCATTAACAGCCAGCACGGCGCAATACCAGCACCTGAATGCCACAGACGAGCTGGACTGACCTGGCTTCCAACTGACGTTTGCCCGGCGGGGACGCCTGTCGCCGACATGTCGCCGCGGGTCCGCCGCCCAGTGGCGGACTCCGCTTTCTCAGGGTCGCGCGGCCGGATCCCTCGTCTCGCAACCGCGGCGCCTCCTGGCCGGCCTCAGCCAACGGTCGGCTTTCACCGGCAGTGGCTGTCGCAGGTTCGCTGCTTGCCTGCCATTGGTTGACGGCCATGCTTCCGCTTTGAGGTGACCCACTCTGATCAGTGCTCATCAGATGTGTGCTTCCATTCGGAACAGTTTGATATGCGTCGTTCTCACTGTGTGTAATCACATCTGATTCTGTTTGTTTTTGCAATGCTGGGGCGCAGCTACCACTCGTTTTGTCCGTTTCGGACGGCTGAATTTTGTTTTGCGATGCTTTTAAAGACTCTAAACCCCTCTCAGCCGCAGACAATGGGTCGTATTCGTCTGAGCCTGCCCACATGAAATCTGCACTGTCCGACGTCACAACACCCTGCCCATTCTGGCCCCACGGGGCCACGCAGTGACCGCTCGCGTTTAACGTCGGCACAGCCGAAACGTTTTCCTTCTGCGGTATTGTAACCGGACGATGTCCGTTCGATGTAGGTACATCCGGTGCTCGCGCGTGACGCGCTAGCGCGTCTGCGGAGTTTTCTTTCGATGCTGTCATGTCCGCCCCGTCGCCATTCTGTACGGCCGTGTCCACATCAGTGGCGTGCTCCGTGGCCGTACCCACACCAGTGTCGTTCAGTGGTTGAATGTCCGGCCCACTGGCGTTTGGTGAGACATAAGCCAGACTATTGGCGTTTTCTGCCGGCGCGGTCACGCAACATCCAATGGGAGGCTTCATGGAAACACCGTTGTTTTTCTCCGCAGTCCACAACTGTTCGTGTTCATGGTCCCGTTCTTCTAGATGTCCGTTTTGGATGTGGGCTGTCGAGACGGGCCTATACTCATCACACGATGAAGGTAGATGTCTTTTCCAGGCTTCTTCTTGAGCTGGCAAGGGCTCCAGCGTTGAATTGTCACGTGTTTTCCGAACAAGTGCATTACGGTTTATCGTGACTGTATTCGATCTTGAGACAGATGTTACCATCCCCCGATTTGAGGGCGGGTATCTGCATAGCACTGCAACAAGAATGTAACGTATCATCAGTGATCTGTCTTTATAGGTGATATCCTGAGCTTGACCTTATCGATGACGAGCATTTATCAGAAAGCAGGTGGGCTTCTTTGGCCATTTTGTGCTAAAAAAACGTAACTGATCAGTGGCTTACCCAATAAACTTTACTGCCCTACTACCAAATGCAAATCCCATCACCACTTGATGTCACTAATCATAACAAACAGAGGAAGGCAATGGAAATTATATGACACTTTCTATGCAAGAGACAAATCCTTAAAGACAGTATTCAACATCTGCATGGGGGTTTGTACTGAAATAGCCCGCTTTGAAAATCGTTTGAGTTCAGTACACAGCCCTACCTTTCTCGAGACCTGAATCCCTTCAGTTTCTGAACTGCACTATGTAAGGGTGTGTACACATGTTGATGACTTTTTCAATGCCACCCTGTATCCATAATGCTATAAAAACATCATTCAAATCCTGCCATTCTGTCAAGCATGCAGGCACTAAGGCCAAGAACACATCATTATTGAATTGTTTAAATCTGGCATTTGTCAGCTAGCAGCTGTCCACTGGCCCTCTCAATCAATGGTGTGCAAGGTACCTTATCAACCAAAGACATATTGAGGGAGGACAGTCACTAAATAGAGAATTTGTGTTGTCTAGAGCAGTCTTTTCGACTTAAAAGTATACCAGTAGTTTAAAACTTGGAACATTCCCTTTTATGGCACTTGTCTCTGACATAAGGCCAAATCACTAAGTAGCAATGATAGCAGGCACACACATCACAAGCATGCATTACAATCATACAATACTGACAGTTGACAACTGATTGTAACAACCAGGTCAAACACAGCCTAATTATTGTTTTCAAAGCGAATGGTAAGCAAGTATGAGCTCTAGGAAACCACATTCACAGCTTACCTGGAACTGAAGCCTTTGATCCATAGACTGTATTTTATGTAGTTTGTTCATGCTTCCAGGCTTTTTTCCCTTTCCCTGGATAGTGCCCACTCCCCAAGGGCAGGCAGTAGCTGTCACATTGCCAGTCTCACCTGCAGCCCCAAATACAGTTATGAATAACAGTTGGCAGTCAAATGCACAACTGGCTATGCCACTGCCCTCCAACCTACCACTGACACAACCTTAATCCCAAGTTGCATGTAACACCTTTCCAGAAAAAGATCTCCTTACAGAGGTTGGCCTCCTTAAAGAATGCACTCTTGAATGGGAGGTACCACTGGTACACCCTTAAAACTCATACAGAATGCTGTTTGGTTTGCAGCTTGTTGCAAATGTTTTTTATTATCCTTTTAATGCCACACAGAATGTTTCTAGCTGCATCATCATGCCTGTGGAATGTGAACAGGTCCACAATATCATCTTATTACTGAAATTATACCTGACACCTGTTCCTCAGTATGAACATAAGCTAGAGTATGGGGAAAAAACTAGCAGAATTCTGTACACATGGAATGCTAGAGAACCTGGACCCACTCCTGGGATCCATGTGCATGCCTGCCTGGTTAATAAGATTCAAGTTTCACCAGATTGATTCTTAGAAAATGTGTCACAATAGAGCTAATACATTTTTTGGTGGCTTTGGTGAGTGGCCACATGTGAGTGTGCAAAATAATTGCATAATTGCATGACTATGTCCCTACTTAGCTGTGGACTTTTGTGAAGGGTTCTGTAATGTTTAAGCTCTAGGCACCAGTGGAACTGAACTTATTCCTGATTCATTTAATGTCAAAGGTATTGTATTTACTCATACTTTCACAGACCTAAATTTTGTACACATGATCAAAGGAAGAAGAAGTATGGGGCATAAATATAAACTACTAAGTATGTACATATATTACTATAAACTTCAAAAACAATAACCTTCACACAAAACAATGAGCCAAAGAATAACATTTTCTGTTGCAGTCTTATTCCACCTAGTATAACAGATATGGTTACTGAACATGGGTAATATGGGTATACTGAACATGGGTAACATGGGCATATTGACAGGATAAGTGCCTTGACCCGGTTTTAATACTTGATAAATAATTCCAAAACATTTTGCTTACAGTGCTTGCCAAAAGCTTAATCATCGGAGAATACCATACAGCATTAAGAAAACACATTACCAGAGTTCATTCTTGCATGTAGTTTTCAGCAAACGCTGAGAACTGATCATAGAATCACCTTTCTGACCTTGAAAGCTGACGCATTCTTTTCGCTCTCTACTGATTTGTGGAATGGTCGTTTTCGGATAACAGCATCAACTAAGAATAAGCCCAGTTCCGGACTCCATTTAATTGTGACCCCACCGCACCCCCTACTCAACAAAGGTATTTTTAACGCCTATTGACTGAAACCAACCACCAACCCTCCAGCTCATCGCTACCATAGCGTCATATTTGTAGATAACCTACATCCATGGGGTTCAAACCCCTTTGGAAAGGTTTAAGTGATAGGCATATGATCAAGGGGTAGGCCGATTTAGATATTAAATTTGTGCTTCTAGTTATCTCACACGATTTATGCACAACATATCCTTAAATATTTCATTGAAAGACTTGTATTTCATACTTCTTGGAAACATGTAAAATGGATCGCAACGATGACAAAAGCGGGGTTGAAAGAAGGTCTTGTAAAAAAAGCCTTGTATGTTGCCCCTGATCGATTACTTTAGTAGTAGAAAATTGGCACGTTGGCAAGGGGGAGGTAAGTAATTTTATATTTTAGGGTTTTTGCTGCATGCCTTGACCGCCGAGGTAACTGCGTGCCACATGAAATATAAACCTTCCATCCTCCTGTCAGTTTCGTAGCTTGTAAAGTGGTAGAAGAAGGGCTTGGTTAGCTATTTGCATTAAAACGGCGTCCCAATATATTTTTGGCATCGAAGCTCAGATCAAGTCCAATTCCAGTTCAGATAAGAATTAGAATTAGTATAAATAAACTTGTTTATATGCTTAGTAGCAACTGTATGTTACCCTGGGTTGATTAGGTAAGTAGCAGAATGGCACTCATGGTATATTTTAGTACGTTTTGGCTGCATGTCCAGGGTGTTGAGGTAACTGTGTGGCATAGTAAGTGTAAAACATTTCTATCCCCCTCATTACTTTCATAGCGTTCATAGTGATAGAAGTAAAAGTGTTTAGTTATTTGCCTCTAGAAGCAGTATGTTCAGTTATAGTTTTTGGCATCAGCATCCAGATCGAATTCTAGTTCAACAACAGATCATTAATTTATAAATGAAGGTACTGTTTTTGACAAAAATATGGATTAAAGTGTAAATTATATTTTTAATGTTAATAATAATTCTAGTCTAGCACCAGCAATACTGGGATGGATCTAAAAGTGCAGTGACATTCAAGTTCAGTTGTTTCAATCTGATTTAGAGACAAAGTCTAGGCTCAACTCTCGATGGGCTAAACTAACATGCAACATTCTCATATGAAACTGGATGACACATCAAATAGAGCTTGAAGAAGTATATTTGCCTTTCATTCTCAACTACTGTAAGATTAGCTAAGGTAATGTTTAAAAGCTATGCGAATGTTGTTGGAGCCAGAAAAGTTCCTGTGCGAAGGTGTGATTTATTTTTTGCCCCCATTTTGTGTCTAACAAGCCATGGGCCATGAGGGGGGGGGGGGGTGGCCAAAACTTTCAATAACATTATCAATACTATTGCATAAATAGCAGTTGTTAGTTTTAATGCAGCAATTGTTTAAAAGCAGATTGTTTTCTCATTGGCCCAACCCAAGAACTCATGATTTTTCCCAAATATACCTGTAAAACAGCATAATGAGTATGTGGAAAGTAAACTTAGATACAAACACCTTTTAGTAAATGTGCAAGTCATGTTACAGGACTGGTAGTGACTGGTACAGGCTGGCACTCAGAACTTGGTACTAACTGCACCTTTTATTTATTTATTCCAGTTATTCCTCCCTTTCTTTTCACAGGTCAAAATATGAATAGCATTGGTGAGGAGTGCCAAGAGGTAAGAAGCAATATGATAATTGTTTCAATGCATGGTTTTCAGAGAAGTTCTTGAAGGGCCATTTAGAAGAAGATCCGAAAGTGCCTAGAGCTGTTTGAACAGTACTCTGAATGTGCTAAAAAAGCTATAGCTGACAAGGGTATCAACATTGAGGACCATCCAGAAGGACATTCTTGGAACAGATCAAGAACAAAAAACACCCAGAACAAACAGCTAATGTGATACAGTATGATATCGTAATGCATGTTTTTCAAGTGTTTTAATCATGAGCCTTTGTTGGAGAACAGTGTGATCCATTTGTGCCAGTGTCACCCATGCATCTGTGCTTACAGTGAGCTTGATTCCTGTTGCAAGGACCACAAGTTTTCATATTCATTACTGAATGAAATATATGTTTTGCTGTCCACCATATGTGAGTTTTATGAATTTCCATATTCACATCGACCCAGCTACAATATCCTGAATACTTTCCCATCCCCTGATGAGCTCGGACTAACTTCGCCATTCCACGGCCTTTTGACTGTGTTTTACGCATATCTTTGAGTTTTTCAGCACTCTCCTAGTGACAGGTAGATGCGAAACACGTCTTCATGTCTTAGGATCGTGTGAATGCCTCCTCCCTGCATGCCGAGGTCTTCGGGCCAGAGTGAAGTTTCCTATTCTGTGGGGTGGGGGGAAGGGAGATATAGGGAGAAGACGTCCAACTTGGGCTCCCCTAATTCTGAGAAGAAATTGGGACCAATCCGGAAAGAAATCCGGTTTGTTGGCATATCTTGAGCGTAGAGGACTCGTCATTGTTCGCTGCACAGGGCACTGCCAGGGGCGCACTTTCTCAACATATGTTTGAGAATGTACGCCCCTGTTTACAGGCTCCTTAGTGTGTTGAACCTTCCATAATAATGTGCATCGTAACGCTGCAGCGGCGTCCGGGGAAGGCTAGGGACTGTCGTGGTATTCTAGTGCCCTGGCGGCCATTGAACTCACCGCCGTGACCGGGCGCGACGACTGCGACCTCCGCCTAGTTGAAGAGTACATATTTGTGGCGGGGCTCGCTGCCGTGGAGACGGCTGGCAAACCCGAGAGAAAAGAGCAGGGATCTTGACAGTCCGGGGCGTTTGAAGACTTCCTCGATGAATTGCTGGCGCAGGCGACTGGGGTCCGGAAAATATCAGATTGCCTCTGATATTGCCATGAAACTCTATGACTGTTCAGAGAAGGCCGGGTTGTGCGTGGGCGCTTGAGTCTTTAGGTTGGTTGAGGGTTGAAGGATCCGCTCCGGCATATCTCCGCTCAGTCGACTTACGTTCGGAAGACACAACGCTGTTAATACCCTATGCTCGGGAGCCTACGATCGGAAGACGTGCTCCTGGAGGGACCTACTCCTTAGGACCGTGCCGTGATTGATGATGCCTACTGGCGTTGTCCGTTTGTCGAGTCAGGATATTCAAGCAGCAAGGGCAGCGGCACACGAGGAGTGGCCGGAGCGGGGTAGGCCTGCCTAGGTAGGGATATAAAACTAAAAAAACTAAAACTAGCCGGGCCACCAGGCGACGTGGCAACTTGGTAACTTGACGGTGTGTGATGACAAGGCTCCATCGGATTGGGTGAATATGTCCGACCCTGCCACTTCTGCGTCAATGTTGGCACCCTTCCGCTGGGCGGCAGCAAGGCGCTGACCAAGAACTTAAACAGAGGGGAATAAGAGGGGCGAGTGGTGCCTGTGTGATGCTAGTTATGAATGTCATGGCCAGGGGTGGTGCGACCAGTGGGGCAAGAAGGCAAAAGTCCCCTCGCCATTTTAGAAGGGACACGCATACCTGTATGCCTGTCTGCCCTTGATTCCCATACATGTACGCCCCGTGACATTTTCAGCAGGCCCCATTTCCGTCGTGCCGCCAGGAGGTCTTGATGACCGATACAGAGCATTCCGTCATATCGAAATGAGGGCTACTAAGCCTATACAAGAGATGGTCTGGAAATTTGATCGGAATCCGAGCAAATTTTTAGATGAAGGATGGGATTGGACACCCACTAGATCCGTTTTGTCTCTGGAGGAAAAGTCGGATGGCGCCGCCGACTGCCAACTGCCAATGAATGCCAAACCCGGAGATCCTCACTATTCAAACAAGGAGCAGTGGTATGTCCTTAGCGCAAGTACTCAAGCGATAGGTCTTCCGAGATCCTCACTATTCAAACAAGAAGCAGTGGTAAGTCGTAGCGTAAGTATTCAAGCGATAGGTCTTCCGAGATCCTCACTATTCAAACAGGAAACAGCAGTAAGTCTTAGCGTAAGATTCGAGCGATAGGTCTTCCGAGCGTAGTTCATCCAGGATTAGCTATAACGAGTGCTTATCTCCCGGCAGTAGGTCCAGCGGCAGTAGGGTCCTCCGAGCGTAGGCCTTTCGAGCTCAGGTAGTTCATGGAGGTCCTAAGTGGAGCATGCGTTCCGGATGATTCCTTGGCATCGCCAGGGAGCTGGGATAGTGGCAGCGGGCCCCAGGATGACCAGTAGCCCGGACACGTGACGCTGACGTTCGGAAATGGAATACTCACAATAGAGCAGAGTACCGGTACACTCTGGCTTCGAGCCTGGTGCGGGGCATTGCCATAGACAGATGAACTGAAGCTTGTCGCTTCATTGGCCTAGATGTCGCCGCCACGGCTTTTATGCCAAGCCGGCCATTCAGATGTAAGCGAGAGAGTCGTTCTCCAGGTGCGTGCTGTATCAGGCAAGCATGAGTTTTCCGTTCGATCGAGCTTGCTGATGTTCTCAGGATGCGTTGTGTGCCGAAAATGCGCATCACTCTCATCCAGTGAACTTGCCGGAGATCTTGCACAAGCTCGCTTCCTAAACAATGTGCAATGGGGGCCGTTAGATAGGCCGTTTAGACGAATGATGTTCACATGAACAATTCAGTATTTTCGCGCGGATATTGCCAATCTAAGGTAGCTCGCACTGCTAATTTAACGGGTCAAATATAACGCTCAGTAGCACATATGTGTGCTATCGATACAGGCGTACCTATCTATGCCAGCAACTGTTACAGTTATGCTGTGATAGAGGTGCTGCCCATGCTTGATTACCCTGCGGTTTGCCAGCGATTTGCAATGGGGTCATTGCAATCGTTGCGATGCAAAAATGGGTGAATGTGGGTTGGCGGCCACAACTACCACCATTGCAGCAAGGGGTTGCAGTTGCCCCAGCGGTATTAGGTACGTAGGTATACGCCGCACATCTGTCCTATCTGTTTCCATTGTGCGTTCGTATTATTATCCCATCCAGGAGAACGGATGTGAAGACTGAGTCTGTGCGAGATTGCGGTCGATTGACTGGCCCGAAGGAATCTCACCACTTGGGTCGAGGCTGTCTGAATTCGCCCAGCGGTTGTTCTTCGCACCCCATTGGCGAAACTGGGACGCTAGAAGCTCTCGGGATGCACGCGTGTGGTTTAAAACACACCACTCTGACACTATTTGCCATTGTAGGTGCGGACCGAATCGTCCGAGGCTTACATCTATGTATAGATATCAACATATGCTCGAACTTATGGTCCTCTTCGGACAAATCTATATTCGGCCTAAATTTAGCAGGCCTGCTTGCCATGGTATTTCGTATCGGATAACTAATAGATTAATACGCAATCACAAACCTTAGAAATGTCGACACTTTATTGGTTCCGCCTGCCTGCCCATACTTGCCCAGCTCTATGACCTCAACGTACAATGACACCACATCACGACCAGTCTGTGCAGCACGACACAACTGTGCGAACCACGAAATATTTCCTCTTCTGCAGCGGCGCTTATAAAGCACGGAATTACCTCTAGTCGGTATTCCCTGTGGCCGCGAGACAAGCGGCCCGAAAGACCCACATTCCGCAACACGCCACATCCGGTTCAACGGTCACGCAGCCGCGGCAGCAGGCCGCCGCGCGCCGGTGACACGACCACGCGGCCTCACCAGTTGATCATGTCGGAGACGTTGTCCAGGTGCCGTTGTGCACCTCGGGCGTCACCTGGATGAGCGCGACGAGCATGGCATACACGTCGACGGCGTTCACCTGCTGGACGGTGACCCCGGCGCGGAAACTGGGGCCGCGACCGAGCAGCACGCCGCGCATGTCCGGCACGCCGCCGGCCGTGTCGTCGTATCCGCCTGCCGCTTCCACGGCCAGTGGCCGCTCGTGCTCCAGGTAGTAGCCTGGCTCGGCCACCAGGAGGAGGTCGGGCTCGCGCTGCCCGTGCGCCAGCCGCATGCGCGCGGGAATGGCGCCGCGCAGGTACGCGCGCACGCCCGGCACGGCCTGCGCCTGCGCGTGCGCAGCCGTCGCGTGCTCCCCGGCCATGTAGACGAGGCAGGCGGCACCGTCGCCGGCGACGGTGACGGGAGCTTCGGACGGCAGCAGGCTGTCCACCGAGATCACCTCCATGTCAGCCGTGTCCGTCAGGCCGCCGTCCGACACGATGACGACGTTGACCTCTCCGCGGGCCTGGCGGTCCAGCAGCGCGCGGTCGAGCGTCTGCAGCTGGCCGTCGAGTGCGCGCAGCGCATCCAGCACGGCCTCGGACGTAGCGCCGTGCTTCTCGGCGGTCCGCCGCAGCTCGTCCGTGTGCACGATGGCCATATTGCACGGGTAGGCCTCGGCGAACAGGCGGTCCAGCGCCAGCGTCAGACTCTCCTCGAACTCGCCGGCCTGCCCCGGCGCCTGACAAAAGCTGATATTGCTGCCATCAATGGGCACACAGGCGCCTTGGACGTTGAACACAGCTGTGCGACGCCACTGCTTGACGGCCGAGGTCCAGAGGGGCACGACGCCGTCCCACCATCGCCGGGTCGGTGGCCGAGTGGCCGGCCGGGCCGTCCACTCGCAGCTCGCCGCGTTGCCGGTCGAGGAAGTGCTCGCCCAGGATGCCGTGCTTCTCCGGGTAGCGGCCGGTGAAGAAGGATGCCCGCGTGGCGATGCCCTCGGACGGGAAGGTCGGGTTGAGCCACTCGGCGCGTGCGCCATACCGCACGAAGTGTGTGAAGAAGGGCAGCTGCGCCGGGGGCACCAAGCTCAGTAGTCGTGGCGCAGACCGCCCACCGACAGCACGTAGTAGCTTGGGCGGGCTGCCTGCCGACCTGGAACACACGAACCAGGCCATGGACACGAGCACGTACGAGAGGATGACGAAGCACCATGTTGCGGCCGCGCCCGCGCCAGCCAGGTCGTTGTGCCGGCGCCGGCTCCTGACGCGCCGGCTCGGCCGCCGGCCCCGGCTCCGCGCCGGGCTCGTGCGGAGCCGGCTCCGCCTCACCTCGCCGCTGACGCACCCTGCCCCATCGTCGGTCGCGTGTCGACTGCGGCCGCGGCCGAGCGCGAGCTCCGCTATACCGCCCGCCGCTCGTCAAACTGGTCAGACCGGCCGTGGTTGGCTGCTACCCCCTTCCCCCTTTTTTTTGGCTGCTGTCGGCAACGAGTTCAGGCCCACATCTTCCCGCTACAGCAGGGTGAACGAATGAAAATTGATCACCGGGAGAAAGCGCTCTCCCGAAGGTAGTGGGCCTGCCAACCGAGAAAACAAAGCATGAACATGCGTAACTGTGTTCCGAAGCTTCTCCTCTCTCTCTTGCGCAACCAGCGGCGACGTAATCCCTGAGACATGTTTTGAAGGTCTGCGAGTCGGCTGTGGGGATCAGCAGAGGTGTAACCCACGGCCGGGGATGTTGGGGGACGGTTACTGCAGGGATCATCAGAGGTGTAACCCACGCCCCGAGAGCGCTTGGGGCCGGGGCTGCAGGGATCAGCAGAGGCGCAACCACAGCCGGGGCTGCTGGGGGCCGGGGCCGTGAGGATCAGCAGAGGCGAAACCACGGCCAGGGCTGCTGGGGACCGGGGCCGTAAGGATCAGCAGGGGCGTAACCACGGCCGGAGCTGCTAAGGGGCCGGGACCGTGAGGATCACACAGAGGTGTGACCACGGCCGGAGCGCTTGGGGCCGGGGGCCGTGAGGATCAGCAGAAAGCGTAACCACGGCCGGGGCTGCTGGGGGCCAAGGCCGTGAGGATCAGCAGAGGCGTAACCAGGGCCGGGAGCGCTTGGGGCCGGGGCCGTGAGGATCAGCAAGGGCGTAAACCACGGCCGGGGCTGCTGGGGGCCAGGGCCGTGAGGATCAGCAAAGGCGTGGCCACGGCCGGGAACGCTTGGGGCCGGGGCCGTGAGGATCAGCAGAGGCGTGACCACGGCTGGGGGCTGCTGGGGGGCCGGCGCCGTGAGGATCAGCAGAGGCGTGACCACGGCCTGGGGCTGGCTGGGGGCCAGGGCCGGAGGATCAGCAAAAGGCGTGGCCACGGCCGGGAGCGCTTGGGGCCGGGGGCCGTGAGGATCAGCAAGGGCGTAACCACGGCTGGGGCTGCTGGGGGGCCAGGGCCGTGAGGATCAGCAAAGGCGTGGCCACGGCCGGGAACGCTTGGGGGCCGGGCCGTGAGGATCAGCAAAGGCGTGGCCACGGCCGGGAACGCTTGGGGCCGGGGCCGTGAGGATCAGCAAGAGGCGTGACCACGGCTGGGGCTGCTGGGGCCGGCGCCGTGAGGATCAGCAGAGGCGTAACCACGGGCCGGGGATGCCATTTTTTTCTGCTTGAGGTAAAATGTCATCAAGTAGATCAGAAACCGTCAAAGCCGAATATGTTGTCACACGCCGGGTAGTTGCGTATGTCAAGGTTGTGGTGTTGACTAGTCTTATTCGCCTTCAGCCTCTAGAGTGTTTTTCCTCGGTACAAAACAATGCTGCCTGCTAAATCCCGACCGATGTGCTGTTTTTCGTGATAACTGCCATTCTCAAAGTGTTATTTAGGTCGGGCGAGATGGTACCAGTGTTTTCCGTGTAATATCAGGGTGATCACTTGAAGCGCAACTGCCTACAGTCTGTCACAGAGCGTGTCTATGCACCTGTTGTTTCAAGCCGCACTTGTATCTTACACTGGTAGTGTTCCTTATGTTAGCAGCACGCGCGTATGCCCACGCAGCCCCGCACCTCGCACCGTGTGTAGTCGGATTGAAGAAGGAATGGGCGCAACCATCACGGGGTTGATGCGGCTCAGACCCCGGTAACCTTCTGGCAAATTCAAGAATTATTATGTTTTGACCATTGATAAAATGTCATCACCGAAATAGGCATGAGCTCCAGCAACATTTGGAGGCGTGCTCCGCCATAGACTCTGAAGACTTGATATCTCATGGCCGCAAAGGCTTACAGCAGAGGCTTATCTCGGGTGCAACACGCGGCGGCCGAGAGTTTGCCTTTTTTGGGTCATGACTGAAGTAAAACCTGCGGGCGGAATTTGGCAGGGATGATTGCATGCGATGTTTTTACGATCTGTACACTGCCTTGGTTCAGCATACGGTGCCCGTTCTGAAACATTTTGTATAAAGGCCTGTGTGCGTAGAGCGCCGGGCAGGTGTAGGCCTGACCGAGCAGTGATGCCAGGTGAGGCGCAGTGAAGCCTCTGATGATATACGTTGTATAGAAATGATATGTCGGACTGAGTAAAGCGTGTTTTGATAGATGCTGTATCAAAATAAACGAGGAGATGCTCGTAATCCAGTGGAGAACACCGGCACTGGGTTCTGGAGCCCAACCACATGATACACGAGCGTTGAAGACACACGGCAATGCCTTATGGCTGAACCACGCTTGACAATGACACAGTGATATTTGCACACTTCGCATAAAAAGGCCGAACGTCCTGCATGCTTTTGAGGCAGTCGAATACATGTGACTGACAAAGGTGAGTTTGGTATCCAGGAGAACGGCGAGGTCGCGAATTTGTTGGCAGCCATCCAGGCGGTGGGCGTCAGTGCAAATGAGTGGTGAGCAGGCGATGTGCGGAGGGTAAATGAGGTGGCATTTCACTTGGCTGGATTCAGTTTCAGTTCTAGTTTTTGGGCCATTCGCAGGGGCGATCCTAATCCGCCTGAAGTGAGAGATAATCTGCTGCGTTGTCGATTTGGTGATACATTTTCACATCATCAGCGCACATTTGCTCGCAATCTGGTCAGGAACATCAGTCAGAAAGCAGGCAAACAGCAACGGTCCTAGGATGCTGCTTTTCAGGACACCAGATCGCAGCCCGCTCAAAACTACGCAAATCGCAAACAGGTGTCGGCATCCCACAAATGCATGGTGAGCTTCTTCCTAGGGCCACGTTCCTTATGCCCATGCCCGCTTCCAGCAACCACCAGCTGGCTCGCACACAGACAGGCTCAGATGAACTGGCTCGGCCTGTGGTAAAAAGCTGGGTCAGGTGTCCTTAATACTTCCAAACGCCGTGCGTGTCCTCATATTGTGCTACCTTCAGTGCATAGCGCGAGCTGAGCACCTGTCACCGGAGAGCGAACGGTGGCTCGTGTGCTTCGACTAAAAGGGTGACGAATGGAGCGCTTGTTCGGAGTACTCCAAAGGCGATGTGACGGCCGTCGTGCTGAACTGTGCCGGGGGTGCGTTTTTACGGAGCCTCGCCCAGACTCAAACGCCTGACACCTGTGTCCTAGCTTAGAGCGTATCGGCGCTCAGTAAAGGCAGAGAAGGGTTGTCCGGTATGCGCCGCAAGGACATCCTCGAGACTGCCTTGAGGATATCCAACCCCTTTGAGCAACAATCAGTAAGGTTTCTGAAATGGGCGTGGTACAACAACCTTCTGTCGAGAACAATGCCCAGGAACCTCACCGCGTCCGGAAGTGGTAAAACATAGCTTCAGTATATTTGATTAAATATAGAGTTAGTATAGTACGCCCTTCCCCAGGGTTCAACACCAGGGTCTGCACAATCACGTTGCCTGTTGCAGATGTGCATGCATGTGGTCTTCGGAGCTGAAAAGGTAAAGCGATTCATAAAATTCCGGTGCGTCAGTTTGTCATGGCAGATCTGGATCTGTCGTTCAGCCGAAGCTGACGAGGAAATGGAAACCCAAATGGCGAAGTCGTCAGCGAAGAGCCAGCGACGCACATTTGCGGGCAATACGTCACCGATGTCGCTCAACTGCAACAGCAAACAACGGCACCCTTGGGATGGCCCCCTTGTGGCACTTCATTAACCGCAGGGAGGTGGTCTGAGAAGGTGTTTCCTGTTGTGCCCTCGAGAGACAACAGTCGAGCATGAGGTGTGTTCCCACGGAGTCGATGAGGGCGACTCTGCCCTTACAGCTATGCACACGCGCAACATAACCTCGCTCACCACTCGCCAGCCAATAGCCGAGTTTTACGGGGCCCTGGTACCCCTGGCGCCGTCGGTTTGCCGGCGCCCCAGGCAACGGGCCGCGCGGCAACCGGGCGGCGGCCCGGTGGCTGCCGGCGCGTCCCGGCGAGCCAGCCCGGTAACACACATCATCACCTCCCCTCCACAGCGACCGAAAGTGACGGGGTCGTCACAGCTGGAGGCGATCTGTTCGCCGCTTGCTGCGTTGACTGCACCTGACTCCGCCCTTAAGGGCTAGGTCGGCAAGATGGATGAGTTGGTCCTTCCTGAGCTTTATCCAGGCTCTGCGGGCGGGCGGAGAAAACAACGATTTCTAAAGAGACCCCCCCCCCCCCCGCTGGGCGTCTTATGTGGTAGTCACATCTGCGGCCAACACCCAAGACGGTTTTCACGCGATTCCACCGCTTGCTGTGGGGATCTTGTATGAGAACCTCTGAACCGACCTTTAGATGCAGCAGACACTTCGCGGTCCGGTCGCCGTGGTCATCAACTGTGGTCTTCATTGCTGTTGCTTTGGAATCACAGCCATCTGACGCAGTCCTGCCATTCACGGGAGGATGAGCGATGACCGACAGGGACGTGGGAGCAAAGAGGATGCCCGTGAACGACCTGAGCTGGGGAGCGGCCATCAGCCCGGGGCGTGCTCTCAAGATTCAAAAGACCTTCAAAGAAAGCATCAGCGTTGAGCTCTCTACCATGGCACGTTATCTGAATGGGCGCCTTGACGGTCTGACTGCTGCTTCAGCGTGTCCAGTTGACTGTGGACAGCGTGGCGTTGATTGTTCCAGCCTTACTACCCAAC